GTGCACCCGGCGCTGCCGGCTCCCCACACGTCGTAGCACACGACGGTCGCGGCCGTGTAGTTGCACGCGCGGTAGTCCGCGAACGACGGGAAGCGCACCACCTCCTCCGCGTACATGGGGTACTTGAAGGCTGGCGCGCAGGGGGAAAGGGGGGAGATTGGGGAAGATCGGGGGACATTGAGGGGGGATCGGGGAAGGATCGGGGATCGATGGGCGCAATCTGCTCGTCCTCATTGTACCCTTCACAAATGAGTGCACGAGTGTATGAGTGCATGGCTCCAAAAGATGACTAGGACTGTATCGCGCGACTGCCATCATCACTCACACAGTACGTCGCCCGCGTAAATCTTCGTGCCGGCAGCCCACGCGCTCCATTGGACGGACGGATTCCACGGATACGAGTACACGCCCTTCGCGTATCCAACAGTCACGATCACGCTGGGGCTCGTCACGGTAAGCGCGGGCGGAATGCCGTCTCCGCTGCTTCCGCCGGTGGCGAGACCCGCAGGGGAGCCCGTGGGCAGCGCAGGGACGGGCGGGGGGGCCTCGTCGAGAACGCGGCGGAGCAAGCGCGCCTGGCGGGGGGGCCGGCCCTGAACGGTGACCTGGATTGGCGGAGGTGGGGAAAGGGGAACGGGCGTTGGGGGGACCGGCCTAAAGGAGTGGATGCGACACCGCCGTCATAACCAGCACTGCTTCATATGACCCATTTGTTGCACGATACACACCCGAACACACAGGAGCATACGTGGAGCACGTGCGGAGCACACGCGGATCACGCGCGGAGAACACGCGGAGCACATGCGGAGCACAGGATCAAGTTCCCACCTTCTGCCCCAGGCGGCAGTTCCGCGGAGTAGACGCGAAGTATTGCGGAGTCTCCCCCACCGCCGCCGTGCACTGCCGCCCGCCGCCCTGCGCGCCCGAGCACAGGAGCGCAGCGTCCGCGTAGGCGCACGCGGAGAAGGCCTCTTGCGAGGAGAAGGAGAAAACGGCGTCTTCAGGGGGAAACTCGAAGACTGGCGGAAAGGGAGGAGGGAGGGGGAGGGAAATCTGCGGTAAGCGCAAGTGGGCTGGGGCAGTTCGGGCCCCAAGTGGGAATCTCCATTCTCGTTTCAAATATTCGGTTCTCGCACAAACGGATCGAGTTTCTCGGGTCGAAAACAGATCATTGCAGAACCGTCGAGAACGGATCGTTCCAGGGGAAATCCCATCAACGGATACGACCAGCAATCACGCATGGCGTTTCGGAGCCGCCGTGTGCTCCTTATTCGCCCGTTTCAGGTGATAATGAGAATGCGCGATTGCCGTCGGGTCATACGGCAGCAGCGGCGCTTGCGTTGCATTGACACCCTTTGAGACGTTTCAAAACGCAATCGCCGCCGGGTCAGACGGCAGCTGCGGCGCTTGCGCGGCATTGACGCAAAGGGACTCGTACAGCTTTCTGACGCGCTCGTGTCATATTCCAAGTTCTTCCTTGGGTGTTAAGCTTCTCCCTTTCTAACCCTGCCCGTCCGGGTGAGTAATACCACACCTGTTGCGTCGTTGCCAGTTGTACTCACCAACAGAGTCTCCGATAACGAGCACAGTATTCTTCTCCCATTGCGGGTAGTCCACTGCGCTGTTCCACGGGTGCTGGAACCCGCCTGTATCGCGTACGCCGACCACGATGAGCCGCCCTTGCGCCACGCGCACGTGGTGCGCCAGGGCGGAGACTAGGAGGACAAGGAAGAGTAGGCGGTGCGGTGGGAGGTGGAGGCGCATGGTTGTCCAGCTCCGAAACGTCATGTTTACGAAGCGATGCGACACTGTCTACGAACGAATGCTACGGACTGTTACAGAGACCTCGAAGTTCGCCAAGATAGTGTTTGTGAACCTTGAATCACGAAAATCGAGTCAAAGTGGAGAAGTGGCGGTGCCTTGTTGTTGCTGTGGGCAGCAGGCGAAAGGTATTTGGCAATGGAGGAAACCGTTATCTGAGAACTCTTAACACGCGATGATTCCTTGCCGTTCTAACTAGTCTCCTTGTGACGCTCAAGGCAAGAGGTTTGCCCACCACTCTCGGTCTAGGGCTTGCTGCTTTGTCAGCCAATGCAGGAATACAAAATCAGCTCGAAAAAAACGTTTCCGAGCAGCCTTTCCGGAAAGGCATCAAGAAAGAGTTTGATGTGCGAGGGAGGCAACGGCCTGGGGTCACAACGAAAGGCGCGGAACGAGACTGGAGACTCAGCAGGCACATGGGAGCTGTATGGCTTCACGAGTGATGGATGGGACCGGAGGACATGCGAAATTCAAGCATCCAGCAGAAACAGCCGCCATAAAAGCGGCGCGTTGAGAAGGGCTAGGCATTTTCTGACAATAAATGAGATGAGAAGGCTCGCTGGTAGCAGGGGATTGGCGGCAGTGGTGGACCGAACGCAGGAGAAAGCGGGGTACGGGAGAGTCACACCAACAGACTTACAGTGTTTAGAAAGTCGATGGGTTGGGAGAGATCGGATACGGTGACCTGAGTGTACTCTTCATTGCAATTGAACTACACCTCTGCTTTGAAATTCGACGCGCGCCGCGGCGGGCTCTCTCTGTGCTCCTTGGTCTATTTGCGAAAAGGTAGCATTTCACATTTCGCGGGCTCTGTCGTCTTTCGGTTCTGTCTTCGCGCGCTCTGTTAGCTCGCTGCTCTACTCTGCCAGTGCTTGCTGGCATGGAGCGCAGGAAAAGTGGCGCCAGAATCTGCTTGGCGAGGTATACGATTGGTTGATGTGTGTGACGACCAGGGCTGTCGATTGGTTTGGAGCCAGAACTTGAGAGGCTGAGGTGCCCCAAAAGTTGCCCTGAAATTTACGGGCTGAGAGCAAACCTGGCACTTGAAATCGGGGCTACCAAGTTTTTTGCACTTTCGCTAAGGAAAACCTACATCTATTCGGGTCCGTTATCCTAGGCAAACTACTAAGAGCCAGCTAGGCAATAGGCTGAGGTACGAACCATGTCGATGGATTTGACGGGGATGGGAAAAGGAAGTAGTGGAGTAGCTGGGAGAGGCGGGGGGACTGGTGAGGGAATGGGAGGGAGGGAGGTATTAGTGTGGGACGATAAGGGCTAGCCGGGGGATCGGCACTTGAAATCCGAGTTAGGCCCACAACCAGCACTTTGCGGGGACGGGCTGCCCTCAAACCCAGTCCTTCAACTTCGGAAGCTGGGCCGAACCCAGCCCTTAATGTTCAGGGCATTAAGGGCATTTGCCCTTGAATCGTCAGCCCTGGTGACGACTGCTTGAAAGTTTCGGTCCGAGCCATCAGACGAGCTGGCCTTCCCTCCTCCTGCCACGCGCTTGTGGTTGGGGCAAGGCCACAGTACTGCGCCAAGGCAGTACTCGTTATTGCGTGGTAGAGCCTACAAAGCAGACAAAGGCTCGACTTTCCTTCCCCACTCATGTAGCACGTCATTCTATTATTCACCCTTCATGCAGTGGGAATGGACGCTTTAGTAAACTAGGATATAATAATTATTGAATATATGCTTGAATTGATATTATTTGTTTTATGTTTTATACCAATTTTACATGTAAATATATTTATATCCCAACCGATATTACAACAAATCGTGATATGAAAAATCTTTTGCGAGTGCATTTTCATCGTTTTCATCATAGTTATTTTTTAATAAAGCTTATCGTTCTAGTTCATTCAATGCTGTTTGGTGCTTAATACTAAATTATTGATTGACCAATACGGTGTAGCCAGGCGATCCCTATTTATCTAATCGAGTCAATACTCTTTATAACTTTGGCGTGTCAAAGTTGACCACTCGACAGAACCAATTCTCAGAACCTTAGTCGACCATTCTAGCACTCTCAGAACCATTCTTGAACTAGAACAAACCTTTTGCAATCGCACGCAAGGAACAAACACCTTCCCCAAACTGCGCGACAGTAGCACGAACAGCTGGTGTTACGTGTCTCATTTCCGCCAGCACAAATCAGCGCGCACGTTCTTGTTGCGGTGTTACACAAAAACCAGCAACCGCCCCGCGCGCCCCGCAAAGTTCGGGCTGGTGCTGTTCTTCCGAGGTGCCACATAACCTGGGTCCCACGAACGGAGCGAGTCCTCCCGACATTGGTGCATTGCGGTTTGGCGGAGAAACATTGAAGATTGTGGGCATGCCCTTATCAACCGACGACGTGGTGATGGATCAACTTGCAGATGTCAATCCGCCGTCAAGTTGAACCCTCCTCCATGCGCTTGCCTGCGGCAAACATTGCACTAGGCCAAAAACCCGGCCATCACTTCATCCACGGACAAGCAACCTACGCTGCTCTCGGAGTTTCGACTCGGGTCCTAAAGCGCAAAGTGAGGCAGCCGCCCCTACCGACAAACACGGAAACATTGGCTTGTGAGTTCCGTACCACTGCCAAAGCCGCTAGTGGCTTGACGGAAACTTGCGACCACCTATTGCAATCATCGACTGGCGCCCATAACTGGCCAATCACAAATCTTCCGAGCAAGTAGGCCTCACCAGCTCCTCTGGCTCGGAAAAGTTGCCTCTGAATCAGCCCTTGGACCCGTCCTCTTACACGCATACTCACGAGCCTCAACCCGGCAATCCCTCCCCGGTTATGCTGCTTTCGGTGACACAACAACGATCCGCATCTGTCTTCCTGCAGAAGTGTGCGCAACCCGACTTCTCCTTTATGCGCTTTAGTGTTGAAGATAGCTTGAGAAGCAGAAAGAGTCAGCTGTAGTGATCTCTAGGGTCCAGTCAGTAGATCAGACGCTTCAGTGTTGCCCTTCGGCGGGTAATCTACAAGCAAGAAAAACAGAAACAACACGAGGAGCTTTTAGTCGCGTGAACCGACCACACCTACTCGAATTGACGTTAAATCAGCTCGTAGACGTGAACGCATGGTGAGGCCGCCGGTTGCCTCCGTAGGTAGTCCTTCCTCTCTTTCGCGACACACGTCAGCGCTGAGAAAGCAGTCAACGGAGACACTGGCGCCGCAAGTGATGTCGTCTCTATTACCCTTTTCGCGTCTTCTTACGAGCCTCTTCCTAGCCGTCGCCATGGCGTGCGGCGCGCGGGGAGCAACCCCCGTGGCACCGGCAACAGGAGGGCGGTACATTACGGTCGGTAGCACGAACGAGAAGTTTAATTACGCGTGGAACCCCAAAGTTAACTACGCTAAATGGGCGTCAACAGACGAAAACACGGTGTATACCGGAGATGTGCTAGGTACGTGTGTGGCGCATGCCCGGTACGAGTGAAGACTGGTGAGAGGCGTACTGTGTGCCAGTGTGTTTTCAGCAACAGCTTTCCTATGTTGTTATGCGCGCTTCCATCCCCTTTCGGCCGGCCCTTCCCCTTCTAAAGTGCCTTATTTTGCTATGCCCGTCTTTATCTCTTCTCGACCGTAACCGTCTCTTTTCATCCTTCGCATCCTCGTTTCGTCTCCCCCACGTCACTCCCACCAGTGTTTAACTATCCCGCCTACTCCGACGAGGTTTATAAGTTTGACGACGTCACGGCTTTTCAGCGGTGCCAGTTCTGGAAAGCCACGAAGGTCTGCAGCGACACGGACGGCGAGGCAGGATGCACGGTGCGAGTCGACACGCCCGGGCTCGCACTCTTCGCGTCGGGCATGATTGCACGATGCACCTGGAATAGCAAGGTCAGTGCCGGGGGTAATGGAAGTCCATGCAGGTCAACACAAGTCAACGCCGACGGTAGAGCGTGAAGCTCTGGGTACACCCCCCGGTTGATGTTTTGGATATTTTTTTCTGATTTGCCGTCTTCCAAATCGTGACCACGAAACCCGTAAGCCGCGACGCTTTCTGGTTGCTATTTCTCACCCTCCTTACGCACGTCTTGTTGTTTCCGCCTACTATCTCCCATCCCGTCTACCGCAGCTGAACATCTCAGTGGTTCAGCGCGGCACCCCGCGGAACGTCTATGTAGGAAAGATAATGCCTGGCTACACATACCAGTGGAACCCTGCTGTTAACTTCATCGACTGGGCTGCGACTACTAAGATATACGTCGGAGATTCTCTTGGTGAGTACAGTGACTAATTACGGAATAGTATGTGTAATAGCGGGTTAGCGGCCCAATGATCTTTGCGATTCTGGAAAATCATGGCCGCCTCGGCCTATTCTGAAGATGTTGCGGATTGATCCATTATTGTATTGTCATCCTGCTTGTACATCCCCCACATGCAGTTTTCAAGTACCCGGACGGCTTAGACGAAGTATACAAGGTGCCAACTCAGGCTGACTACGATGCTTGCGACGTAAAAAACTTCGAAATGATGTGCCGATCGTCGGACGGTGTAGTCGGCTGCAAGACTGATCCACTAACCGCGGATCCAGTGTATTTCATTTCTGGAGTGTACTCAAAATGTGCGGCGGGAATGAAGGTGACGGTTACGGCTGAAGCAGCTCCTACGGCCACATGAGCGATGAATGGGAGTTCCTCTTATGGTTGAGATGGTAATGTACTGAGGCTCAGTAGACGGTTATGCCTGGGGCCCCACGGAAATTTGGGGAGGCAGACGTGGGTGACTGACCATGAGAGATTTATTCCAGGTGTAGGTGCTGATGGCAACTGTAGGTGTTACTGATTCTTTGCCGCCATTTTCAGTGGTGCTGCTGCTATGGCAGCAGCAGCTATTGTTGGTGGTGGTAATGGCGCTACTACTTCAACATGAAGTGACTACCAGGATTGCGAGTGCTCCTTGGAAGCAGGATTTGAGACGATGGACAGATGTCCACCCTAGGAAGATGGCCCGATACTTAGTATTGCACTAGAGTTTTTAGTGAATGTTAGATTCTTGAATCCCATTGTTTGATCACAGGCATAGAAAAAATCAGCTAAATTTCCCTGCACTATAATTGTATGTCGCCTGTTCGTGAATTTCATCAGATTGGAAACGTAGTGCCATGCTACTACCATCTCTTATGAGCTCTTATTGTGGACTATGCTCTGAACTCCGATGTAATATAGCTGACCACCTCTTCTGCTTTTAGCGGAGCGTCATAGACTAGGCTATGAATTAGCGCCGAACCTAAACCAAAGCCCCACCACTCGTCCGACCAGCACCTTATCGTCTCGAGGCGTCGCGCAGGCCCGGCACAGGCTTGGAGATTCAGAGATTCGGCAGGTAGGGAACAGCAGAATTGCGCCAGTGCTTGATAGGGCCTCGCGCTGCTGCAGGCCCTGCTTTGCGCAGCTTCGGCAGGCTCCACTCCACCTAAGACCCAATCAAACCAAACCAATCATAGCGCTGAGCCAGGTGCTGCCATGCCGAAGAGTGTTTTTACTTGACGTTAGCAGGTTCGGATTTGGGAGGAATCAATTTAGGATTCCATTAGTGTGGTGTGGGGCTGCACTAGGGCGTGTTTCAATTGTACGTGTGATCGCGGTTCACAGGGCGGCGCTGCGGTCAAAAGCGGTTGAATGAGACTACTGTCACCTCTGAGCCTGAGACACGCCCTGATCGCCGCAAATTTCGGCTTCACATCGGAGTTCTCCTCCTGTGGCTATTTGCCGGAATCGTCGCTACTACTCAACACCTGTGTCCATTTATTTGTTACTTACGCGGTGACTTTGCTGGACCTATTTGTCAATTCCATCCCTTGCGTGCTCAACCACAAAGCAGCAGCGCGAAGGGACCGCCGCATGATACCATGACGACAGCAGCAGCATAATGTACCCCAATCAATCGTTCAATTAGAGGCACACACAGTCAGTCAAGCCTTCTCCTTTTTATGCCGTTCCTCTTAGCCCGTCTCCGGCCCTTTCACAATCACCGTTCTTCTCGCCTCTCCCACGGGTCGCCGTTTCCATCTCCGCCGCAATGGCGGGCCTTCCTTCCGCCCAACTCTCTCCGCCGAGCGCCACTGGTCTTCCCCGTCCCGTGCGGGAGGTGGAACGAATCTCCCCTTCCGCCATCGCCTTAGAAATCGAGAATCCCCCCAGTTTCCCCACTGTTGCGGGGGAAGCCGCCACAAATGGCGGTACTAGCACTTACACCGACAGAGACGCAGAGGCGGGGCCCAGCGCGAAAGCCGCCGCTCCCCCCGCTTTCTCTTCTGCAGCGGCGGATATTTATCGGGATGAAACAGGCGGAGGGGGAGCGGAGATACTCCCCGCGGACGAGGGCGCGCGGGGAGCAGCAGGGGGCGGGGTGGGCAGCGGAGCGGTTAGGGGAACCGGCGGGGGAAGGGAGAACGGGGAGCAGGATAGCGAATCAAATCTCCCACTTGATGATGACGTGGAAGACGATTTATCACTCATCACACTGCAACGGCACGCCGATACCAGGCGACCCGCGCGCTTGAAACGCTTCTGTAGCCAATTCCTCTCGCCAGTCGCGATCCCTATAACGGGGATAGCGGCGTGGATGCGGGAGCTGGGGCGCGTGTTCGGGTGGCCGCTGCTGGGAGTGGTGATGGTGACGTATGGGATTAATCAGGGGTATGCGAGTTCTCTCACGGACCTGTCGCTGAGTTACTATTGGAAGGACGTTCAGCATCTGCAACCCGCCGCTGCTCAGTTCTACATGGTGCGTGACGTGGCGTGGCAATGCGTGGCGTGGCAATGCGTGGCATGGCAATGCGTGGCGTGACGTGGAACTGTGTGTCGTGACGTGACATGACGTGTCATTACGTGGCATGCTTATTGAGTGGTGTGAAGACCCCTGACACCCCTTCATTCCTTTCCCCCCTCCCCCGCTTCTCCTCCCCCGCCTTCCGATTCTCTCGCGCTCTTCCCTGACATTAATACCATACCAGCATATTCCCCACACCCCGCGCCCCCACACACCCCGTGCGTGCCATGCCCGCCACGCCATGCGTGCAGAGCTTCGTGGGCATCCCGTGGGACGTGAAGCCGCTCTACGGCATGATCACCGACACCTTCCCCATCCTCGGGTGCGTGCGCTGCTCCCCTCTCTCTGTCTCTCGCTGCGCCTGTGCCTTCCCTGCCCGCGTCTCCCTCTCCAATCCCCTCTGTCACATCCCGTGGGACGTGAGCCGCTCTACGGCATGATCACCAACACCTTCCCCATCCTTGGGTGCGTGCGCTGCTCCCCTCTCTCTGTCTCTCGCTGCGCCTGTGCCTTCCCTGCCCGCGTCTCCCTCTCCAATCCAATCCCCTCTATCACATCCCATGAGACGTGAAGCCGCTCTATGGCGTGATCCCCGACACCTTCCCCATCCTCGGGTGCACATCCTCATGATCAGCGCGCTTCTCCCACCCCACCCCCTTTCTCTGCATGCCGCTGCCCCATCCCCTCTCTCCCTCTGCCTCTCCCCCATACTCTCTGCCTGCCTCCCTCATCCTCTCCGTGCCTGGACTTTCTTTCTCCCTCCCTCTCCACAGCCGCGCCCATTCACCGCAGTTATATTTGTATGACTTTTGAGAATTCTCAAAAGTCACCTCAGTCCCACAACTCCCCCCTCCCTCTCTCCTCCCTCCAACCAACTTCCCCTCTCCCTTTCCGCCTGCTCATTTGCACCAGTTTCCTCCCCCGCTTCCGTCCTTCCTTGTGGTACCGACCCTCCCTGCGAGCATCTCTTAAAAGCTGCTTGAAGGAGAATTTATTTTCAGCCGTGCACATGTGACATATCTAATGCTGTCTACTCGAAGCTGCTTGAAGGAGTGTCACCACGGCCCCACTAGCGCCTGACATCAAGCAATCTTCCTGCCCCATCCCCTCTCCTCCGTCCTTCCCCCAAACCTCCCCAGACCAGCTTCCAGCGGTGGCGCAGCAGCGTGGTGGGCGCTGGGGGGCGTGCCTCACACCCCCACCCCGTCTTCCATCCCCTCTCCCCGTCTTCCATCCCCTCTCCCCGTCTTCCATCCCCTCTCCCCGTCTTCCATCCCCTCTCCCCGTCTTCCATCCCCTCTCCCCGTCTTCCATCCCCTCTCCCCGTCTTCCATCCCCTCTCCCCGTCTTCCATCCCCTCTCCCCGTCTTCCATCCCCTCTCCCCGTCTTCCATCCCCTCTCCCCGTCTTCCATCCCCTCTCCCCGTCTTCCATCCCCTCTCCCCGTCTTCCATCCCCTCCCCCCGTCTTCCATCCCCTCTCCCCGTCTTCCATCCCCTCTCCCCGTCTTCCATCCCCTCTCCCCGTCTTCCATCCCCTCTTCCCGTCTTCCATCCCCTCTCCCCGTCTTCCATCCCCTCTCCCCGTCTTCCATCCCCTCTCCCCGTCTTCCATCCCCTCTCCCCGTCTTCCATCCCCTCTCCCCGTCTTCCATCCCCTCTCCCCGTCTTCCATCCCCTCTCCCCGTCTTCCATCCCCTCTCCCCGTCTTCCATCCCCTCTCCCCGTCTTCCATCCCCTCTCCCCGTCTTCCATCCCCTCTCCCCGTCTTCCATCCCCTCTCCCCGTCTTCCATCCCCTCTCCTCGTCTTCCATCCCCTCTCCCCGTCTTCCATCCCCTCTCCCCGTCTTCCATCCCCTCTCCCCGTCTTCCATCCCCTCTCCCCGTCTTCCATCCCCTCTCCCCGTCTTCCATCCCCTCTCCCCGTCTTCCATCCCACTCACAACCAGCTTCCAGCGCTGGCCCTACATAGCCCTGTCAGGAGTCATCGGCACAGCAGCGTGGTGGGCTCTGGGGGGGATACCAGCGCTCGTGCCAGCAGTGGCAACGGCGCTGCTGGTGACACAGTCGCTGTTCTGTGCCGTGCCAGATGTGGTGGTGGATGGCATGGTGGCGCAGGAGATTCGCCTGCACCCCTCCTATGCCGCGGATTTGCAGGTGATTCAGAGTGGGGTGAGGGGGAGGGGAGGGGAGCATGGGAGGGGGGAGTTGTCAGCACCTCTCTTCTGCCTCTGCCTCTGCCATCTCCCATCCCCTCCCTCCCTCTCTTCGGGGCTGTTTTCTCTCTCCTCTCCCCTCTCCTCTTCCCCTCTCCCCGTCCCTTCCCTCCTCCTTCTCTCCCACTCTCCTGTCCCCTCAAGCGGTCCGTGTATTAGATCCGAGCAAGGTACAGACATGCACAAGGATATAAGAAGCAATGCAACTCAGCTTCTAAAACCCCCATATCCTACCCACTCTCCTTCTCGCTCTAAGGCAGCTCCAGTGCAGGCTCCAGGATGGCAAGGCAGTCCCCGAGGGACATGCCTTCGCCCGGCAGCACCACAGGTGGGTTCTCCACCTGAGCCGCATAGTTGCACTTCGTCATGAAGCTCACCGACTGCGCCCGCTGCAGCGCCACGGACCACCGCTGGCGGAACTGATGCAGCAGCTTTGTTGCCAGAGTCTGCGGGCGGCAGTGTCGGCTAGCAGTTTGAGGAATTGCGGCACTTCCGCGCACGGGCAGCCGTAGGTATCAACGGCGAGAGGGAAGAATCTGACCCACGAGGCCGTTGAGCCCTCGTAGTTGGAAATCTTCTTCTCAGCCGCCTCCCTGGCCGCCCACCCCCTGCCCTTGACCGCGTTGGGATCCTGTGTGCTAATGGGGTCCGTGATGGTCACGTCCCCTATCCACACAGCTCCTGAGGACTCGTCCCAGATCGCAATGTCGGCCTTCTTCCTGGTGACGGGGCAGAACGCAGTCGTCTCGCTGTGAGTCATAAAGTCAGGCGGCCATGTGCTCGCACACATCACGCAGCTCATTGTGCGTGTTGGTCCGTCCCTTCCCTGTGTCGCAGCGCAGCAGGTGGTTGGGCAGCCGCCTGTCAAGGATCGCCGTCTTATTGCGGCAGTCACACGCACCAGGTGCCGAGGAGGGTAACCCCATCCGGAACTGCAGCGCATGCGCGAAGTGAGCCGGGGCAAGCCGTAGTGTCGAGTTGAAGGGAACCGCGTTGAGCCAGTCTCCTGCCCCATACCCTAAGAGTGAAAGCATGTGCTGTGTGTGCCCGCATAGTGGGTTGAGCGGCATGATGCGTGTAGCTTCCACCTGCTCCGCGTAGCGCAGTCCGTGTACCTCGAGTGCCATGCCAGCCCATGCTGCAGCTTGACGCCCTTGGGATCGGCATGGTCACTCTGCAGCAACTCCTTCCCATCGTCCGGCAGCGACTCCTCGCACCTCTCCAACCAGTCAAACAGGGGGGGGACGTGTTCACGAAGGATCCCTTCATCCGGATCCGAGTTGATTTTTGAGTCAACTCAAAAATCAACACGAAGGGTCCCTTGATCTTGATCCGTGTTGTGTTTCCGCCAAGGCGCCGACAGCTCGCCCGTCAATTGAGGTGAGCAGGTGCTGCGCTTGGGTGTAGCTTGCAAGGAACCCAACGCGTCCTTCCACCGAGGGGTCTGCGAGACCCAAACCTCCAAGCGAGATCGGCAGCGAGGCTTGAGCCCAGGTGCGTGAAATCTCGGCTTCCCCAGGTGGGTGACGGATGCCGCAAGCCGTCAGCAACGTCTCAAACAGTCTCTTCCCCCAGTCTGACCACTCCTCGACTGGCAGGGCAGAGAGGGGCGTGGTACGGGCAACGTAGGAGACCCGCCGTGAGATGCACCGTGTCAGCAGTCAAGACGCCAGCTGCGGCTCCATGCGCGCGATTAAAGGTAGGGGCCCACCCATGGTGTCGAGGCTATCACGTAGGAACGCCGCCGTTGCGTCGACGCCACCAATGAAGCTGCCAAGCACCTTCACACCGTCGTCAGTGAAAGGTATGCCCTGCGGCAGCGCTGCTCCCTGCCGACCAGCTTGTGACCAGGCCGCGCATTTGGCTGGGTTGTGGCGCAGCCCAATCTCCCCGAGATTCCCTGTGAAATGTTCAAACGCCGCCGCACACATAGCTGCTTCTCCGAGAAAGGTCACGTTGTCCGCGTAGGCCAGGCAGATCACGGACGGAAAGGCAAGTGACGTCTTTGTCAGCGCTGGATGTATGGCAGCCGCAAACAGTAGCGGACCGAGGGGATCTCCCTGCCGCACCCCGGTCTCGCTCAGAAGAGGTGGGGGCGAAAAGCCGGCGTCCAGGCATAGAGCAGAGGGGAGGCCGTACAGCAATTTTACTAGCGGCAGAAGCAAGGCTAGAGTGGATCCGCGAAGGGATGCGACGACGGCTGCCCGATTAACGCTGTTGAACGCATTCGCCAGGTCAGCCTGCAGGACCAAGGCACCCGTGTTCACGGCGAGGCAAGTGCGTGTGATGTGAATAATTGCCTCTGCCCCTCCCGGGACTGCCACGCCAAATTGGTGCGGTAGGAAGAACTCTCGAGCGGCACCCGCGGTCAGGGTTACGCCGGGGTTAGCGCCAGGGTTAGCGGCGGGGTTAGCGCCGTCTTAGCAGCGAGGCGTGTGATGCTTTCGCCAATAGCAATTGGCAGTGTCCCCCCATCGGGCTTGGTCAGGGCAGTCGATCTTGAGGCGGTGAGGAGCTCGGCCACTGCAGGTGGTAACTTTCCTGTGAGTATCCTGTCCCCTCTCTCTCATTCTCCTCTCCCTTGCCCACTGTACTCTTCAACCCCCTCCACACCCCTTCCTCCCCCTCCCCGCACACCAGACCCTCCCAGCAGCCTGTCTCGCCCTGGCCTCGCTCCTCACATACACCATCAGCGGCTCTCTCATTGAACGCCTCGGTCCCTGCGGCACATTCTTCCTCATCTCCCTCGCGCCTTTCTCACTCATCGTGGCTGCGCTCCTGCTCCCTGAAACCCGCCTGCCCGAGGGCAAGAGGAGGGGGGATGTGAGGATGCTGAAGAGGACGTGGCGCCGCTTCATTGGCACGATTCGGCACCGGAAGATTGCGAGGGCGGCACTGTTTATATTTATCGTGCAGGTGAGGGGTGCTGGGTGGTGTAGGCCTGTGCCATGTGGTGGTGTGGTGTGGCGTGGCGTGGCGTGGCGTGGTGTGGTGTGGTGTGGTGTGGTGTGGTGTGGTGTGGTGTGGTGTGGTGTGCTTGCCGTGCCGTGCCGTGGTGTACGGGGCGGGTAGCCCCGAACATCACCTCGGGAATGTCCTGTCCTTCTGGCTCACGGACGAGCACCAGCACGTACACTCCATGAAACTCACCTTTCCCCCCTGCCTCTTAGCCATCCCCCTTCCCTGTCCGTCCACCAGGGCGGGGTGGTTCCAAACATCACCTCGAGAATGTTCTTCTGGTGAAGCAGGGCGCACGGTGCACTCTCACACCCTGTAACCATGTCTGCCATGCGTCCCACCACACTCCCTCTGCCGCCTCTACTCCTTCCCCCATCCACCAGGGTGGGGTGGTCCCGAACATCACCTCAGGAATGTTCTTCTGGCTAACGGACGAGAAGCAGGGCCCGGGGTTCAGTGAGGTGTTTATGGGCATGGTGGGCGCGGTGGGGCAGGCGGGCATGCTGCTGGGCGTCACTGCGTACAACCTCTGGCTGCGCCGCTTCACCTACCGCTCTATACTGTTCTGCACACAGGTGCGTGTGAGTGAGTGAGTGAGTGAGTAAGTGAGTGAGGGTGCGCGTGCCTGCCTTCCTTTTTGCCTGCCAGTGTTTACGGGGGCGGTGGGGCAGGTGGGCATGCTGCTGGGGGTCACTGCCTACAACCTCTGACTGCGCCGCTTCACCTACCGCTCTATACTGTTCTGCACACAGGTGCGTGTGAGTGAGTGAGTGAGTGAGTAAGTGAGTGAGGGTGCGCGTGCCTGCCTTCCTTTTTGCCTGCCAGTGTTTACGGGGGCGGTGGGGCAGGTGGGCATGCTGCTGGGGGTCGCTGCCTACAACCTTTGACTGCGCCGCTTCACCTACCGCTCTATACTGTTCTGCACACAAATCTCTCACAAGTCTGCGCACGACTGCTTAGCCCATGCTCTCCCCTTCACACCCCCCCCCACCCCCTCCCAGTTCCTCCTCTTTGCCACCTGCTTTCTCGACCTCATCCTCGTCACGCGCACGAACCTCAGGCTTGGCATCCCGGACCACGCGTTTGTGATCGGCGACCAGGCCTTCTCACTAGCCATGGGCCGGATCCAAATCATGCCGATCCTCGTGCTAGCGGCCCGCATGTGCCCCTCGGGAATCGAGGCCACTCTCTTTGCTTTCTACATGGCGACGAGTAACTTTGGGATTACTTGCTCTGAGTGGTGGGGTGCGGCGCTGCTGCATGCGGTGGGGGTGCGGAGGGATAGCTATGGTAACCTGTGGATGGCGGTTGTTGTGAGGATGTGTGCCCGGCTGCTGCCGCTGCTGGCTCTGGGGTTGCTTCCGGAAGGTGGGCCGGAGAGTGAGGTGGTTGAGCAGCTGGAGCTGGATGGGGAGGGGGAGGAGGAGGAAGAGGAGGTGGAGGGGAGAGGGGAGGAAGGGGATGAGGAGGGTGGAGGAAAGGAGGGGAGGGTTGGGGGATTGGAAGCAGAAATGGGAGAGATGGGGGGGGAGGGTGAGGAAAGGTGGCTGTTAGGGAACGAGGGGAGGGATGGGGGGAAGGGAAGAGGGGGAGGAGCAGGAGGTGAGGTGAGGTTGAAGAGAGGAATGGTGAGGATGAAGCAGGAGGAGCAGAGAGGGCTTGTGAGGAAACTGGAGTTTGACTTGCAGGAGGCAGCGGAGTGTGAGACAGCAGGTGGGGAAGCATCGGTTGGAGCCGGTGCAACTGGTGTTGTCTGTGTTGCTGCTGCTGCTGCTGAAGTGGTTAGGGAAGCTCGGGTAAACGAGGAAACGGAGTCTACGCAGCTAATAGAATTGGGCACTCTCCAATAGGACTCTTCCACGTGGACAAGTGCAGGAAATACAAGAAGCTTTAATGGCGTGAATGGCTGACCTACGGGTCTGATAAAACCTGGAAGCTGTAGGGTTAAGTCTACAGACGTTGCAAGGGGATCAGAGATCAGTCATGGACTCATGGGCTAGCTTGTAGAAACACTCAGAGGGGGCCATGGGTCGGATTGGAACCAGCTGCTGCTGCCGTCGAGTCGAGACCGACACCCAGCCGGCGAAGCAAGGCATCTGTTAGCGTATCATGCATCGAGGAGGTATGGAGGACGCAGGCTTGGATGCGACATGGCAACTTTCGGATGTGAGCTGCAGCCTCGGGAGCGTCACTGCAGCTTCAATCAAATGTGCTTTTTGAAGGATTTGGTTGGATGGAATTGAAGAGCCCCGTTATTTTATACAGTACTTACCGTATGGGTCATGGCCAGCTTGCAAGCAGTGAGAAAGAACTGATACCATATCAAACAGTAGTACTACCACTGCAGCTTCTACAAGGCCATTAGACTGCAGCAAGAGGTTCTTTCCAATGTTTTGCATGTACACCTCTTGCTTTCAGGTAACAGTCATTGCAGCATGCTGTGCTGTGAGAAATCATGCTGATCGTGTGAGACATTGTAGTAGACACCGAAATGACCAGATTCTATGCAATTCAATTGAAGACATAAAAAACGACACACCCAATGTGGGTGCTGCTGCAAGCAGTGTCAGACTGTCAGTGCACGAGGTGAAGGAAAGGAAGAAGCATGGCGGTATGACACAGAAGAAGTCAGCATTGCTGTGGCGTGGCACCAATATGGGCCTCAAAGGGCAACCAGCGTTGCCATTGCCGTTGCCGTTGCCAATGCCAATGCCAATGCCAATGCCAATGAAGAACACGAGCATGAGGCCACGCGTGGCTGACTACCAGTATCCACGTAGCTGTTGATCAGCTTTCCTGAATAGTCCAACGGGCAGAGGCTCGAGGCTCCGCAGGGAATAAACAGCCATAGCTGTGCAGCAGATCTGCTGCTGAAAACAAGAAAGAGGAACGAGCGCGAGGGAGAAAGATGGAGAGGGATGGCGCGGGAGAGGAAGAGGTAGAAGAGATGAGGAGAGTCTGCAAGAACTCCAGAGTGTGAGAGAGCCCAGTGACAGCCCATCCCAGCCCAGTGCACCGCTTTCGGAGGCACCTCAAGGAGGGAAATGAGATGAGGAGAGTCTGCAAGACCTTCGGTGCATGAAAGTGTGCAGGAGATTCAAAGCGTGAGAATGGCCCAGGCAAGAGCATCAGTGTGCAGCAGCGACAGCCCATCCCAGTGCACCGCCTTTTGAGGCGCCTCAAAGAAGGAGGAGAGATGAGGATAGGAGTGCGCAAGAGCTTCAGAGAGTGAGAGTGGCCCAGGCTAGAGCATCAGTGTGCAGCAGCGACAGCCCATCCCAGTGCACAGCCTGCCGCTGCCGCCGCGCCTCCACACCGCTCCGCACCGCTCCATCCGCCCGCGCAGCCGCACTCAACCCCTGGCCCAGCGGCAGCTTCTGCGGAATCAGCCAGTGCCCACCATACACCCCCAGCAGCAGCAACCCCTGGTTGAGAGCTAGCAGCCGGAAGCCCTTCTGGGGATAGGGCACCTGGAGCACATCCCACCACGTAGTTGTTTCTGGGTCAAACTCCCGGAGTGATGAGCCTATGTCTGCAACGGCAAAGAGGCGATTTTCTACGACTGCGAGCGAGCCGGGAAGGGATACGAGCAGCCATGCTGCCTCCATGATTGACCAGGAGAGCGAACCGTCGGAACCAAGGGCGTGCCTCTCCTCCTCCTCCTGCTGCTGCTGCTCCTGCTGCTGCTGCTCCTGCTGCTGCTGTTCCTGCAGCTGTTCCTCTTCCTCCTCTCCTTTCCTCTCCTTCTTGCCCTCCTTGCCCTCACGCCCCTCTTGCTCCTCCGGCTGCTCCTGCTTCGTCTGCTCTTCACAACTGCCTGTGCGACTATCCCTGGTAGTGCTGCTAGAGCTCCCCAATACTCTCCCCACACTCGCAACACCACACGCACTTCCCTCCTCATGTCCCCCCTCTTGTTCCTCATCGTGTTGCCCCAATCTCCCTCCCCTCTCCCCATTGTCTCCCAACTCTCCTCTCACCGCTTCTCCAGTCCCTACAGTCACACAAGACTCTCCATCAGCCGCCCAGCTCCTGGTACTACCCCTCCCCCCTGCTCCCTCTCCCTCCCTCTCTCTCACCTTTTCCTCTCTCTCTTCCTCGCCCTCACCTTTTCTCTCACCCTCTCTCTCACGCCCAATCTCTGTGAGTGAACTTTCCTCTCTCTCCCTAACCATATCCTCCTCTTCCCGCCGCTCCTTGCCCCTCACTAGCCGTTCCAATCCATCCTCGCTAAGAGACATGGCCTCACAGCAACCCAGCGTCGTCGTTATAGTCGTCCCGTTATTAGCAATCCGATCCACTCCACTAAGCACCAAAAACTTCCCTTCAAACACTGTACCCAAACACTGCCCGCGCCTCCTGTTCAAACCAATCAACCTGTGCCACGTGTCCTTCTCAGAGTCGTACACCTCAGCGGATCGCAACGGCTCCCGCTTCGCGTCCCACCCTCCCGCGACGACGACAAACCTCCCAAACGTCCCGCAAGCGAAGTTACTCCGCGCGTCCAGCATAGGAGCCGCGGAGGACCATCGCCCCGTCACCCCGTCGTACCGCCACACCGCGTTTTGCGTGTGATACGCGTCCGTCCCGACCGCGCCGCCAATCACGAGCACGAACCGCCCGCGTCCCACCGTCGCCAGCTGGCACCCCCACAGAAAGTGTGACCTTATCGGGTGCAGGCTAACGAGCGACGGAACGGACGGCGGCGGCAGCAGCGACGGATCGAAGGCTTCTAGGCGAAAAGGACGGTTGCCTCTTCCCCCCGCGAGCACGACTAGCCATTGCTCGTGTCGCCCTATCGCGCGGCGGAGGGTGAAGAACTCCTGCGAGCGGAGCAGCGACGCCCAGGAGCGGCACACGGCGCGCGCGCAGCGGTGGCTGCGGCGGGGAAGGCGCGCGAGGCAGAGCCGCGCGACATCGTCCGATAGGCCCGGGATCAGCGGCGGTTGCTTCTCACGATCGTCGCGCACCGGCTCGTGCTGCTGCTGCTGCTGCTGCTGCTGCTTCTCGTTGCTATCGCGAAGTCCGTCCGATGGCAACGCTGCTGTCGCTCCCGACGAAGTACCCTCCGCGCGGAACGGCGGCTCGAGCGCCTCACTGCATGGAGAGTGCTTTTGAAGCAAACAATCTTGCTCCTCCGTACCGCTCTCCACCGCATCGTCCTCCCCAAGCGAAGCCCTTGTGAGAATTCTCAACAGCGCGTCTGCTTCATGCGATTTTCCCGCCACTGATAAATCCCCCCCGCCCAAGTCTGAAACGATTTCTAAATCGGAAATACGTCCCGGAATCTCGCCGCTTTTCCCACCACTCAATCGAGCAGCCTCCATCCCGCTTGCGGCTTGCGCCAAGATTCTACCCTCTTCTTCCGCCAGCGCTGGACCCGCTTCCGCCACCGTTAGACCTACTTCCGCCACCATTTGATTGAATACGATCTCTTGTGCATTTGTGTGCACAGGAGGACAAGATTGCTTGTGTGGTGGTGATAGCAGCCGCGAAACGAGCAGACTGGGTTGGAGACAAGGGAGCCGTGTTCATTTACGGAGGTTCTGTGCGGTTTGTTTCAGAGCAAAAAGCCTGTGAACCGTGAACAACCGTGTAGGACCCATCGGAAACGCGTGAAACCAAGGTTTCTGTGAAGAGAAACCGATACAACCAAAACTCACGTTGGGCATATAGGCACTTGCTAACTGTAGTAGTCTGTACGAGATCATCCATGATTCAAGCAACTGTTTTTTTTTTGCGTGTATTTTATGATATATTTCAGATAAATTTTTATTTGATCATATGAAAAAAATATCTGGATGGTTTCCAGATTTTTATCTATCGAGCATTGAAGTTAAATGTATGAGTCTTTACAGTTAGAACCACCACTTTTCTTCTTAAGATTCCTTTTTTATTCAGCTATGTAGCGAGCTCCACATTCAAACGGTCACGCTTATAAATACTGCAAAGGCATCCCCGACGGCGGGCAAGCAAGCAAGCAACACCATGTCAGATTCGAGTGGGCTCTGCCGTGTTTTGCTACCGCTGCTGAGCCAGCACAGCACATCCAATAATGACTCCTCCAGACTAGAAAGCATAATTCATTCCAGCACATGAATCAATGAGGCTTTTAGGATTACGCCACGCCGCATCTCGCGGCGTGTTGGGATTAGGGGCCTGAAGTCACTCGGAAACGCAGGATGGCTCAAGTAGGCTGAGCGGAAGTCCCGCATTGTGCGTGCACGCAATGCTGCCGATGTCATTGTTCAGCCTGCCTTACCCAGTCGTTATAACTTATAACCATACACGCTGTAACGTCAGCCATAGCCTCTGATCGCACGTCTTAGCCACGTAGAGCCTCTCTGCTGCTATCTTGTTTCTCCCTATTTTTCATGAGTCTTTATGTGCAAAACAGGGTATCTTTCATTTAGTATTTCGTGTTAGCTTCATTGTTAAAACGCGAGAGTACGGTTTTAGTCCACCCTCGCGTCTCGGCGTAGCGGCAGTTCACCCTGATCAGCCCATCCTCGTTACAAGCATCGGACCCTCCTAGCAAATCTCGCGAATCCGGTAGCGACGTTCCCGAATCGCACCCGTTTCGCCGTCTCCCGCGCACCCAGTCGTCGTGATGATTTTCGAGACCGTCCGCGTGTCGCCCGACGAGCTCCACCTGCCGTGTACGCACACGCTCCACCTCCCTCGCCTCATTACCTCTCAGTCACATTAAAGCTATCTACTTTACTTTCTTTCTTACTTTATTTTTTTAGCCGTCGCCTTGTCACCTCTCTCCTCCCATCTTCTCCCTTCTCTTCCCCGTCTCTCCTATCCGTTTCGTCCCGTGTCGTCCGCTTGCCTTAACGGATCGCGCCAACTCTCGCGTTCGTTTCCGATCCGGATACCCCGTCCGTCCGCTCATGCTCTCGAATCGCCCTGCCGTCTCTTTCCCCGGCCATGGGCCTCTTGCCGTTTCCCGCGTCTGTGCGGCCTGTGTTTGCCCGGGTGTTCCTGCCGCTCCGTATGCCGTGTGGGTTCGGCGCTGCGTGCGGCGGCAGTCGAGGCGGGCAGGAGTCTGGAGTGCGACATGCATCTTACGAACGTCACCTCGCACACCGTCCTCGCCAAGGCACGCTCCCCCCTCGCTCCTTCCTCTCCTCTTCTCGCTCCCCCTCGCTCTCCCTCGTGCACCCTCTCTCCCCCTCGCTCTCCCTCGCTCTTCCTCCCTCTCTCGAGGCGGGCAGGAGTCTGGAGTGCGCCATGCATCTCACCAACGTCACCCCGCACACCGTCCTCGCCAAGGCACGCTCCCCACACCTCCCCTTGCTCTCGCGCTCTCTCACGCTCTCTCACGCTCTCTCGCGCTCTTTCGCACTCTCCCTCGCTCTTACTCGCACTCTCGCGCTCTTTCGAACTCCTGCTATCCTGCTCTCCTGCTCGGCCGTTTGCTTCCAGGCAGCCGCGCTTTGCTCCGCTCCATGTGCTCTGCTCTGCTGCCGCACACCGAGTGACATCTGGGTAGCTAAGTCTGTGGGTATTTTCATCTCCCTGTGTGCATACGTTCCATCCCTCCCTCCCTCCCTCCCTCCGTCCCTCCCTCCGTCCCTCCCTCCCTCCCTCAGCTTCTCCCCAGCAATCCGCGGCGCTACAAGTTCTCATCAGGCCCGAATCTGCTGCTGCCGCCCTACTCTATCGCAGACATCCGAGGTACGGTGGGCGGGGGGGAGGAGGAGCAGAAGGGGAGAGGGGAAGGGGAGGGGAGGAGGCGGGGAGGAGCACAGGGAAGGAGCATCCTCCCTCCTTCGCACTGCCCATCCCCCTCTCCCCCTTTCCGCTTCCTCCCTTTCACCTGCGTGCCATGCCCTGTGATTGTTTAATCTCATGCTTGGAGTACCATCCGCAACGTCTCACTTCCTTCTCCCCACATTTCCCCTCATTTCTCCTCCCAACCCCTCCCTTCCCCTCCCTTCCCGTCTCCTCCCGTCCCGCCCCTGACCTTCGCTTCTGCTCTCCCCTCTTGTGCCGGCAGTGACGTGTGAGGTGAGGGGCTGCGAGCTCTGCCTGGAACAACAACAACAGCATTAATGTGGAGTGCTTCTACCGTGCTGCTGCTGATGCATCTTTGATTCTCGAAACGTCCTACAAAATTGCCTCCTGCTCTTCCCGCTACTTGCTCCCCTGTGCATGGCAGTGACGTGTGAGGCGTTGAGAGCGCGGCCGTACTGGAATGATAACATCAACGTGGAGTGCTACCGTGCTGCTGATGACTATTGGATTCACGAGAGACGTATTAAAAAACCACCTCCCACTCTCCACCTTTCGCTCCCCTGTGCATGGCAGTGACGTGTGAGGCGTTGAGAGCACGGCCGTACTGGAATGATAACATCAACGTGGAGTGCTACCGTGCTGCTGATGAATCCCTGCCGCTTTCCATCGATAATGTAACCATGCCTTCTGCTGCTGCCGCTGCTGCTGCTGCTGCTTATGCTGCTGCTGCTGCTGCTGCTTATGCTTCTGCCGCTGCTTATGCTTCTGCTGCTTATGCTGCTGCTGCTTATGCTTCTGCTGCTGCTGCTGCTGCTTATGCTTCTGCTGCTGCTGCTGCTGCTGCTTATACTTCTGCTGCTGCTGCTGTTGCTGCCGCCGCCGCTGCTGCTGCTGCTGCAATTCATAACCACAATGACATGGCACTCCTGACTGGAGTAGCGAAACTGTCTGTGCCGTGGACGTATGGCAAAGTGTTTGAGATTTTTTAGCACTGAGAAGGAATATATGTATAAAAAAGCCCTCCTCTCTCTTGCATCCCCTCACCACCTCACGCACTCATCCCCTGACCCCCCCCCCCCCCCCCCTCTACAGGACGCAGCACCGCTGATCGGAGTAGCCAAGCTGCGCCTGCCAGTGCTCTTCCAGGACTTGGGCGGCCCTCTCTCCTCCTCCCCCTCCATCTTCTCCTCCTCGTCCCTCTCTCGCGCCGCCAACACGAGCATGAGCGGGAGTGCAAGTGCGAGTGCGCGGGCGTCTATAGCGAGTGGCAGTGTGCGCGCGGATAGCGCCAGCAGTAGTGTGCTCAACTCAGCATGCGATGATTTTTTAGATGCTGCTCGCAGCGTGGTGTGTGTTGGGGGGTGGGGTGGGGTGGGGTGGGGATGGGTTGGGAGTGGGAGGGGGTGGGTTGGGGAGGGGGTACGTGGGGGGGAAGGGTTGGGTGAGCGTTGAGGCGCCTGAAAAGCAGCAGTGTTCTCAACTCAATTTGTGGTGATTCTTTTGCTGCTTCCAGCATGGTGTGTTTGAAGAGGGTGTGGCGGGGGTGGGGGGCGGAAGAGGCGTGTGTGGGGGATCAATCACTCACAGACAGCCTCATTGCTGCATTCCCTTATCTCCCCATCTGATCTGCTCCATCGGCCCCCCATCGCCCCTTGTGCGCCATCGCGCCCTCTCTCCATCGTCTGCTGTGTGCGCACCGCGCGCACAGGGCGAGGCGCAGGCGAAGCACCGGGACGAGTGCATATTGGAGCTGGCCGGGCGCTCACAGACAGCCTCATCTCTGCGTTCCCTCATCTCCCCGTCTGCCCCATCGCCCCCCCATCGCCCCCTGTGCCCCATCGCGCCCTCTGTCCATCGCCTGCTACCTCCGGATCACAGGGCGAGGCACAGGTGAAGCACCGGGACGAGTTCATATCGGAGCTGGGCCAGGCGCTCACAGACAGCAAGAAGCAGGCCACTGCTGTACGCCGCTGCTGCGCTCCCTCCCTCCTGCCTCCCTCCCTGCTCCCTCCCTCCCTGCTCCCTCCCTCCTCCCTCCCTCCTCTCACCCTCTCTTTCTCGCCCCCTCGCTCCTCCCCCCCGCTCCTCTCCCTCTCTTGCTCCCTCCCTCGCTCCCTCCGTTGCTCCCTTCCTCGCCTTCCTTCCTGTCTCTCATCCTGCCTGGGTCCCCACCCCCTCCCGCTTACCGTTCCCCCCGCCCGCTCTTCCTCTTTTGTAACGTTCTTTCGTGCTCAGACTCACACACATGTGTGGCTTTTTCACAGTCAGCATTCGAGAATTATTAGAAAGAAGAATGGCTGTCAACACACATCCTTTCTTGAACTCCCATGCTGAATCCCCATCCCGAGTGCCCATGCTGAACCCCCCCCCCTTCCCCCCCTCCTCTTCTTCCCCATGCATTTCTGGCGTCTTCCCATCCTCCCTGCTCCCCGTCTCCCCCCACCCTTTCTCCGCATCACCGTCCTTGACTCCTTGCCGTCCCCCCCATCCCCCTAACCAAACCCCCCTGTCCGTTCCTCTCCCCCCCTGCACCACCACACTGCACCACACCACCACACTGGACCACACTGCACCACCGAACTGCACCGCACTGAACCGCACTGCAGCTACTACACGAGGTGGAGGAACTCAAGTGGCAGCTGGGGCAGGCGCAGCACCAGAGCAAGCACCTTAAGTCACGCGTGGTGGGTTTGGCGGGGTTGTGTGGGGTTGGGTTGGGTTGGGTTGGGTTGGGTTGGGTTGGTGGCCTGACATGACCTGCAGTGCACTGCTCTCTTGGGAAGCTGTTCTACAGGCACCTCATAAGCCTGTTGGGTTGGTGGCCTGACATGACCTGCAGTGCACTGCTCTCTTGGGAAGCTGTTCTACAGGCACCTCATAAGCCTGTTGGGTTGGTGGCCTGACATGACCTGCAGTGCACTGCTCTCTTGGGAAGCTGTTCTACAGGCACCTCATAAGCCTGTTGGGTTGGTGGCCTGACATGACCTGCAGTGCACTGCTCTCTTGGGAAGCTGTTCTACAGGCACCTCATAAGCCTGTTGGGTTGGTGGCCTGACATGACCTGCAGTGCACTGCTCTCTTGGGAAGCTGTTCTACAGGCACCTCATAAGCCTGTTGGGTTGGTGGCCTGACATGGTGTTGGAATCCGTGGCCTGACATGATTTGTACTGCCTCTCCATGGGATGCTCTTGCTTGGAACGCTCCCTCTGCTGCTCTGCTGATAGTAGGGGATTGACTTTTGAGTCGACTCAAAAGTCACTTTATGGGAAGTTCTTGCTTGGGACGTTCCCTCTGCTGCTCTACTGATGGTAGCGGTCTCTTCGTTCCGCTTGTGGTTGCTCACTTCTGCTTGTCCCGCTGTCTTGCTTTCTTGTCAAATCGTTGCTATGCTTCTGCCTACTGCCGCATTGCTACCGATTCAACTCTTTCTGTTTACTCAGTTCACTCGTCCTAGGCCCGCTGCTTCTCCCATGCCTCCTCTTTTGGGAATTCTTAATAAATAAGCCAACTGAGCATTTCTGCTGCCTCTTGACCTGTTGATGGTGAATTCAATAAGCCGCTGCTGCGATGCTTCAGACTCAACTCTCTCTGTCCTCTTGCTTGTCCACGCGCCTCCTATGCTCACTCCTCGCCCTCCACACACGTCTGTGATGCTTCCTGTGCTACCATGTGTGTGTGCGTGCTTCTCTCTCTGTGCTGCTCCCGGTGTGCTACTCTCTCTGTGTGCAGAAGGACTATGAGGCGTTGGGGAGGGGCGAGGGGCCAGGCGGTGTGGATGAGCGCATAGAGGTGCTGCGCACACACCTCGCAGAGGCGGAATGGAACGCGGAGCAGGTGAGGTGCGGGAGGGCGGTGTTTTGAGCTGGCCCAGATCAAATGGGGGGAGGGGGGGAGGGAGGGGGGCAGTTGGTGCGGATGGCTGTATAGAGGTGCTGCGCTCACACCTTGCAGAGGCGGAATGGAACGTGCAGCAGGTGAGAGACATGCTGCTGTGCTGTGTTTCAAGTCGACTCAGAACAAGCAGAGGGGGGCAGTTGGTGCGGATGGCTGTATAGAGGTGCTGCGCTCACACCTTGCAGAGGCTGAATGGAACGCGGAGCAGGTGAGAGACGCGGCTGCTGCCACGTGATTGGTTGGCTGGTGGCTGCTGCTACCCGATTAGTTGCTGCTGTAGCATGACTGAGTTTTAAGATGTATCAAAATGTGACTGCTCCACCCATGCTTGTGCTGCGACCATGCATGTGGTATCTATCGACCTGCCCAGGCCCTTCCCATCCCCACTGGCCTCCGTGCACCCGTGCATGCAGGCAGGCAGCAACAGACGTTTGGGAGAAGGAGTCGTGTTTTGAGTGGACTCAAAACACCCTTCCCATCCCCACTGCCCTCCCGTGCACCCGTGCATGCATGCAGGCAGCAACAGACGTGTGGGAGAAGGACAAGGAGATCAAGGACCTCAAGGCCAAGCTGGTCAGTTCCGTTTCGTCCCTCCAATGCTGCTTGTGTTGCCTTGACTTGCTGTTAAGATTACTTGATAAGGAGAAAGAGACGTGTGGGAGAGAAGGATAAGGAGATCAAGGACCTCCAAGCGAAGCTGGTCTGCCCATCCATCCATCCATCCATCCATCCATCCATCCATCCATCCGTCCATCCATCCATCCATCCATCCATCCATCCATCCATCCATCCATCCATCCATCCATCCGTCCATCCATCCATCCATCCATCCATCCATCCATCCGTCCGTCCGTCCGTCCGTCCGTCCATCCATCCATCCATCCATCCATCCATCCATCCATCCATCCATCCATCCATCCATCCATCCATCCATCCATCCATCCATCCATCCATCCATCCATCCATCCATCCATCCATCCATCCATCCATCCATCCATCCATCCATCCATCCATCCATCCATCCATCCATCCATCCATCCACTCCTCTTTGAGTTGCTTTGAGAATTCACCTGATTGTCCACCCATCCAACCATCCATCTATTCCTGAGGCGCCTCACGAGTTGAATCCGTCCATTGCGCGTGCCTGAGCTTCGAGACGTCCCAAAACGTCGATCCAAGATAAGGACGTCCAATGCAGGAGGAGGGTGTTTAAAAACCCACCTCCAAACACTCCCCCAACCCCCACGGCTGGTCTACCCACTTCCCCAGGCGTCCATGGAGTTGGAGCTGCAGGCCATGACAGAGCGGGAGGAGGCGGTGGTGGCGCTGCAGGAGGAGGGTGTTCAGAAACCTACCTTCAAACCCCCCCCCCCCTCCACAACCACAACCCCCCCCCCCCCCCCCCCCCCGCCAATCGGTCTGCGCACCGTACTCCCCCAGGCGTCCATGGAGTTGGAGCTGCAGGCAATGACAGAGCGGGAGGAGGCGGTGGTGGCGCTGCCTGCAGGAGAAGGTTTGACTCTGTGTCAACCCATCACTCCCCTTCTCTCCCATCCCCTCCGGCACCAATCATTTCATGCACCCCCCCAGGCGTCCATGGAGCTGGAACTGCAGGCAATGACAGAGCGGGAGGAGGCGGTGGTGGCGCTGCAGGAGCGCACAGAGGAGAAGCGCGCGGGGCTAGAGGAGGAGCTGGCGCAGGTGCAGGAGGAGATGCAGCGTGTGGCACGGCGCAAGGCCGACCTGGAGGCGGACATGCGCAGGCGCGTGATGGAGGCGGTGAGTGCGAGGGGGGAAAGGAGTGTTGAATCTGAGTTGACTAGAGAGGCAGGTGCAGGAGGAGATGCAGCGCGTGACACGGCGCAAGGCTGATATGGAGGCGGACATGCGCAGGCGCGTGACAGAGGCGGTGAGTGTGAAGGGGTGGAGCCTGTAGGGAGGGCTGTGGGGAGGGGGGTTGAAAGCGGTGCGGAGAGGTGCGTTCTGAGTGGAATCAGACAGCAGGTGCAGGAGGAGATGCAGCAGGTGACACGGCGCAAGGGCGAGATAGAGGCGGACATGCGCCGGCGCGTGGCAGAGGCGGTGAGTTGAGAGGAGGGCAGGGATAAGGAGAGGGGGAGACTTTGGAGACGTCTTAAAATCTGGAAAATCTCTGTGCACTGTTGCAGAGCGGAGGAGGTGCGGTGAGTGCCGGCCATGTTTGAAGAGGGGCACAGGGAGGGTGGGGGAGTGACATTCTGCACAGGCGAGGGAGAAGGGATCGGTTGTTGGAACTTAGGCTGCAGAGCAAGTTCTTCTCCCCCCTGGTGTCCTTCCACTCGTCTCCCGCTTCCTTTTCCCGCTCCCCCGTCCATCCCCCACTCCAGCTGCTGTAGCTCGTTTGCTTTCGCGAGCTTTGCTTGCAGCACGCTTGGCAAGCAACCTTTGGTGTGAGACTTCGATGCTTGCTCGCACGCAGCCGCACCCCTGCTGCAACCCCCATCCTTCTCAGGCATCAGCCATGGCAGCAGCGCAGGCGCGGGAGAAGGGGGTAGCTGGAGGAGCGGTGCAGAGCTGTGTTCCCCGTCTTCCCCTTCCCTTCCGTTCCGTCTCCCCCTCCCCCGCCCTCCCCCACCCCTCCCCCCTCCCCCGCACTTCCCCCTCCTCCGCTCCCCCATTCGTCTCAGGAATCAGCCATGGCGGCAGCGCAGGCGCGGGAGAAGGGGTTGGAGGAGCGACGCAGGGCGGCGATGGTGGAGGAGCGGAGGCTCAAGGCGCGCGTGCTGGAGCTCAAGACAGAGGTGGCGCGCGCTGGCACTCACAGCACCTCCTCGTTCAAGGCTGTTGCACAAGTGGGTGCTGCCTGTGAGGTTGCTTGCTGTTGTGGGGGGTGGCAGGCTAGAAGGACTAGATGCTCTGGGTGGCGCAGGTAGGTAGGAGGAGCGGAGGCTCAAGGCGCGAGTGCTGGAGCTCAAGACAGAGGTGGCGCGCGCTGGCATGCACAGCACCTCCTCCTTCAAGGCTGTTGCACAGGTGGGTGGGAGTGGTTGCTCTGGGGGGGGGGAGATGGGTGGGATGCTAGCACCCAAGACAGAGGTGGCGCGCGCTGGCACGCACAGCTCCTCCTCCTCCTTTGAGGCTGTTGCACAGGTGGGGGGTGCTGCCTGTGGGGCTGCCTACTGTGGTGGGGCTGGTGGTTGAACTGGCTGATCTCTGTGTGTGTGCCTCGTCCTTGTTCTGTACAGTATGGACTAATTTCCATTCCATGTCCTTTATAGATTGCCCTCCCACCTGTGTGTGTGGGGAGGGGGGGGGTTCCCTTACCGTCTCTTCATCTCTCTCTCCATCTCTCCATCTCTCCATCTCTCCATCTCTCCATCTCTCCATCTCTCCATCTCTCCATCTCTCCATCTCTCCATCCCTCCATCTCTCCATCTCTCCATCTCTCCATCTCTCCATCTCTCCATCTCTCCATCTCTCCATCTCTCCATCTCTCCATCTCTCCATCTCTCCATCTCTCCATCTCTCCATCTCTCCATCTCTCCATCCCTCCATCCCTCCATCCCTCCATCCCTCCATCCCTCCATCCCTCCATCTCTCCATCCCTCCATCCCTCCATCCCTCCATCTCTCCATCCCTCCATCTCTCCATCCCTCCATCCCTCCATCCCTCCATCCCTCCATTCCTCCATCCCCCCATCCCTCCATTCCTCCATTCCTCCATCGCTCCATCGCTCCATCCCTCCATCACTTCACGGGTGCGAGCACGCAGGTGGCAGCGCTGCGGTTCCAGAAGGAGCGACTACTGCGGGAGAAGGAGAACCTCGAGAAGAAGCTCAAGGTAAGAGGGCAGGCTCGCAGGGTGCACAAGGATTTTCGAGGCGCCTAAGAAATCGCCTCAAGACAGAAGGAGCACTTTTGAGACGTCTAAAAAAAAAATCGCCTAAAAAAAAAATCGCCTCAATACAGAAGGAGCACTACCTGCAGGAGAAGGTAATACCTCTCAAAGTGCTGCTCAAGGTGAGAAGGCATGCCCGCAGGGTGCGGAAGGAAAGCCGGGGGGGGGGGGGGTTGGGGTGGGGTGGGGTGGGGGAGGGGGGATGCACTGGAAAGAAGGGTGCGGTGCAGAAGGGCAATGCACGGGGTTTACTTGAGTCACTTGCACTCCTTGAGTCGCCTACCCATCCACTTGCTCCCGTCCTCTCCCATGTGCATGCATGGTACATACGTACATGGTACATACATGTGCATATCTAGCCTTCCATCCATCCATCCAAATCCCCCTTGCGTCTGGCTTGTATGCTGTGCATGCAGGAGGCAACAGGGGGGGCCGCTGGGGCTGCAGCGGCAGTGGCAGCAGTGGCAGGGGAGGCTAGCAACGAGACAGTGCAGAAACTGGAGCAGGAGCTGGTCAGTGCCGTTCATGGGTATGGCACTGGGTGCTCGCACTCACACACATGCACATGCACATGCACATGCACATCCACATCCTGCACATGCTATAAAAATACGTGCGTGACTTCAGCTAAAGTTTGATAATATATATAAATGCGTTACTTAAGCATATGTTTGGAATTGAGTGTAGATGCGCTACTGAAGCTTATGTTTGGTACTAAGTATAGACGCGCTCCTTAATCTAACGTTTGTTACTAGGAGTGAGCATATTATCGAATCGAACCCATACGTTTTTTTACATTAACTAACCGGTTTCAGCTATGCCCGGTTAATGGTTCGTGACTTGACAAACCGAACCAGTTCGGCCGAACCAGTCCGGTTCGTTAGCAAGCCGAATCGGTCGGGTTCGACAGTGTCATTTCATTAAAATCACATTCTTTTGGGCGGAAATTTGAAGCGTTCTTTCCTAACATTCGTACCCTATTTCGCAGCCCGCAACCCTAAGAGCCTACTCCGGCTGAAATTGTTGGTAGAACCTGGTCTTGCTCTAGAGATTGTGAACAAAGCTGTCTTCTCCTTAACCCCCCCCTCTCTCCCCTCCTCCCAGGCACACACGCAGGAGATGCTGGAAGCAGAGAGAAGTGCAGCAGCAGAAGCAGCGGCACCGCTACAACCGACACCAACAACACGTGACTAGGGTTTAGTATCCGCATTTCAATCTGCCTCAGTCGTCCCCTTAACCCCCGCTCTCCCCCCTCCTCCCAGGCACACATGCAGGAGATGCTGGAAGCAGAGAGGAGCGCAGCAGCAGAGGCAGCGGCACAGCGAGAGGCGATGAGGGGAGAGGTGGAGGAGCTGAGACGCGAGGTGGAGGCACTGAGTGCTCGCAGCAAGGAGGAGGCCGATGGGCAGCAAGCAGAGGAGCAGGATCCGGTGGGTGGGGAGGGGGAGGTGGTGGAGGGGGGAAGATGGGGATGGAGAGAGACGGGAAGACAAGGAAGGGAGAGGTTGGGGTTGAGGTGGGGAGGAGGAGGGGGGTTGGGCGGCTGCGTTTGTGTAGGGATAGGGGTGGGGTTGTAGGCTGGCTCTTGAGGTGTTGGGGGCTTGGCGATTCCAGGGCTTGGCGATTGCCACACACTCTGCTGAGGCATCGCTCACCCTGTGCGCGTGCGTGCCTGCGTGTGTCTGTGTGTGCGCGCGTGTGTGGGTGTGTGTGTGTGTGTGTGTGCGCGCGCGCGTGTGTATGTGTGTGCGCATGCGTACGTGTGTGCGCGTGTGTGCATGTGTGCGCGTGTGTGCGTGTGTGTGCGCGTGTGTACGTGTGTGCGCGTGTGCGCATGTGTGCGCGTGTGTGCATGTGTGCGCGTGTGTGCGTGTGTGCGCGCGTGTGTGTGTGTGTGCGTGTGTGCACGTGTGTGCGTGTGAGTGCGTGCGTGCGTGCTTGTGTGTGCATGTGTGCGTGTGTGCGCGTGTGTGCGTATGTGTGTGTGCATGTGTGTGCATCTGTGTGTGTGCATGTGTGCGTGTGTGCGCGTGTGTGCGTATGTGTGTGTGCATGTGTGTGCATCTGTGTGTGTGTGTGCGTGTGTGTGTGCGTGTGCGTGTGTGTGTGTGTGTGCGTGTGTGTGTGAGTGTGTTCATGTGTGCGTGTGTGTGTGCGTGCGTGCGCATGTGTGCATGCGTGTATGCATGCATGTGTTGCACATGTGCATACGTGTGCATGCCACATGTGTGTGTGCATGCATGTGTGTGCATTTATGTGTCTTCATGTACATATGTGCGTGTATGTATCGTGCATGCATGTGCGTGCATGCATATGTGTGCATGTGTCTGCATGTGTGTGTCTGCATGTGTGTGCATGCATGTGTGTGCATGCATGTGTGTGCATGTGTGTGCATGCATGTGTGTGCATGCATGTGTGTGCATGTGCGTGGATGCATGTGTGTGCATGCATGTGTGTGCATGCATGTGTGTGCATGCATGTGTGTGCATGCATGTGCGTGCATGCAAGTGCATGCATGCCACACGTGAAGCAGATCGCGAGTGCATCGGAGGAGGAGTTGAGGGAGCAGCTGCAGAGTGCATTGGAGCAGTGGGAGAAGACCAAGAACTTTGTGAGTACAGCCCAACCCAAGGGGATAAGCTGGGGCTGGGTGGGATAGGAAGGATTGAGTGGGAGATGAGGGGTATGTGTATTGTATGTGCTTAGTTGTGGTGTGGGTGTGGGTGTGGGTGTGGGTGTGTGTGTGGGTGTATGACTGTACGTGTGCTTGTGTGTGGGGAGCTGTTAGCGAGTGAAATAAAGGGACCATTTGAATCAATCAATATAAGGACCATTTGAGAGAAAGAGACCGAGTACTGTAATATCCTTCATTCTAATCCTGCACCTCTAACATTTCCTTACGTCCCCTCTTCACTGCCTCCTATGCACCCCTCCCCTCTTTCCCCTCTCGGCCTACATTCTTCCCTTTTTACCTCCCGACTCTTCCCCTTTGCCCTCCCTACTCCTTTCCGTTGCCCTCCCTGTTTCCCTTCGCCCTCCCTACTCCCCGTCGCCCTCCCTGTGTCCCCGTGGCCACTGCCAGTCCCGCCTCCTGCAGGGGCAGGTGTTTGAGCAGAAGAAGCGTATAAGAGAGCTCGAGGTTTGCTCTTGCTGCCATTCCATTGCCCTTCTTTCTCATCCCTCTCAAATCTTCTCTCAATCGTCTATGTTTCCAACACATCAACGGTATCCCTAACCTTGCTTCCGGGGCGCCCCCAGTGCACCTTGCTTCTAGCCTTGACACGTCTTTGAAGCTAAAATAGGTCCTTTTTTTCCCCTCATCATCCATATCATATCACCACTCACCACTCACCACCCATACCACCACTCACCCATCCATACCCCGGAAACCTGACACTGTACCCCACCATTCTCTCCTCTGTGTGTATCAGGGGGAACTCAAGCGGTCAGACGCAGGCCCGCTAAAGGAGCGCCTGGAGAAGGTGAGATGGGAGCGGGCTGCTGTGCAAGGGGATAAATGAAAAGGGTTGTTGCTCGGTTGAGAGTGGTTCCGTGTGGTTCCTGAGCGTGGAGTTGAAGGAGATGGGGGTTTAGCTCAGGGGGTTGCGGGAGAAGGAGAGGAAGCCGGAGGAACTGGAAGGGTTTGAACGTTGTTCAACCTTTTTTTCTTGTGATTTCTCCACCTTTGTTTGATTTTTGTTCCACACTCTTGCGACCAGAGTCCTGCCCACTTCTTTCTCCTTGCTTGACTTCCCCTCCCCCTTCTCTTTCACCCCCTTTCACCCCTTCTTATCCACCCCTGCTTACCCCGTTCAACCTTTTTAACCCTTTTCACCCCTTTCCACCCCCGTTCACCTGGGAGCAGGTGGAGGAGGAGGCACGTGCACTTGGGCAGTATGTGGAGCAGCTGGAGCGGGAGAGGGCACAGGTGCGATTCAGTCATAATTCTAAGCAGCAGTTGTGTAGTCTAGGTTCAACCAAAAGGTACTCGCTATGTAAAAGTAAGTGCACTTGGGCAGTATGTGGAGCAGCTGGAGCGGGAGAGGGCACAGGTGAGACGGGGCGAGGGGGGCGAGTGGGGGCGAGTGGGGGCGAGGGGGGGCGAGGGGGGGCTGGGGGGGGCTGGGGGGGGGCGGGCGTGGGCGAGGGGAAGCGTGGGGGGGCGAGGGGCGAGGGGGGACGAGGGGATAGGGAAAGGGGGAGAGGGAAGTGGGAAGAGGGAAGACGGAAGAGGGAATAGGGAAGGGAAGAGGGAGGGGGAAAGAGGGGAATGGGAGGTTTACAATGGCGAAATGAGATGAGATGCTTTTCACAGGGTTACCAAGCAAACTCATGCGGGGCAAGGCAAGGTGTCAAGTCAGAAGAAAGTAGTGGCTGCGTTTGTTTCCACTTATGAGAATACTCAAAAGTGATTTCAAGGCAAGGTGACTTTTGAGTCAACTCGTGCGGGGCAAGGCAAGGAGTGAAGTCAGAAGAAAGTAGTGGTACTTGATCCGGCACGCAGGTTCGGCAGTTGTTTCCTATGCAGCCACTCAACTCGCTTGCTGCCCCCTGCCAACCCAACATTCTCTTTCTGCCCCCCATGCCCCGATGCCCCCATGCCCCTCTCCTACCCCTCTGCCCCTATCCCCCTATCCCCCTATGCCCCTATCCCCCTATGCCCTACCCAACCTGCCCTCCGGTCCCCCTGTCCCCTCTGCCTACCTCCTGCCCTGCTCCCGCCTGCCTGCCCTGCCCCCTGCTGTCCCCGCTCCCCCCTGTTCTATTCTATCTACCCCCCTGGCAGGGCGGGGCGGATCCAGCAGAGGTGGAGGCGATGAGGGCGAACCTGCAGGCGATGCGCGAGGAGGTGGGGCAGCCACCCCCTCTGCCTGCCCCCTCCTTTCCCCTGTCCCCCTCCTCATCCCCCCTGCCTTTTTCTGCACCCTCTGCTTCCCCCTATTCCCCCCTGTTCCCCCCTGCCCCCCCTGCTCCCCCACCTGCTTCCCCCTCCCCCCTGTTCTTCTACCCCCTGCTGTCCCCCTCCCCCCTGTTCTATTCTATCGACCCCCCCTTGACAGGGCGGGGCGGATCCAGCAGAGGTGGAGGCGATGAGGGCGAACCTGCAGGCGATGCGCGAGGAGGTGGGGCAGCCACCCCCTCTGCCTGCCCCTCCTTTCCCCTGTCCCCCTCCTCATCCCCCCTGCCTTTTTCTGCACCCTCTGCTTCCCCCTATTCCCCCCTGTTCCCCCCTGCCCCCCCTGCTCCCCCACCTGCTTCCCCCTCCCCCCTGTTCTTCTACCCCCTGCTGTCCCCGTCCCCCCTGTTCTATTCTATCGACCCCCCCTTGACAGGGCGGGGCGGATCCAGCAGAGGTGGAGGTGATGAGGGCGAACCTGCAGGCGATGCGCGAGGAGGTGGGGCAGCGGCGCATGGAGCACGAGCACCTCATGCAGGAGCTGGTGTGTGCACACAGGGGGGAGGGGGAGGGGTTAGGGGGAGGGGTTGGGGGGAGGGGGGGGATAGGGAGGGAGGAATGGGGTGTGGAAGGGAGGTGGGGCAGCAGCGCATGGAGCACGAGCACCTCATGCAGGAGCTGGTGTGTGCACACAGGGGGTGGGGGGAGGGGATGGTGTGGGGAGGGGGGGAGGGGTTGGTGTGTGTAGGGGGGGAGGGGGGGAGGGGTTGGTGTGGGGAGGGGGGAGGGGGGGAGGGGGGGAGGGGGGGAGGGGATGGTGTGGTTAGAGGGTGAGGGGATGGTGTGGGGAGGGGGGGAGGTATTGGTGTGGGGAGGGTGGGAGGGGATGGTATGGGGAGGGGGGGAGGGGTTGGTGTGGGGAGGGGGGGAGGGGATGGTGTGGGGAGGGGGGGAGGGGTTGGTGTGGGGAGGGGGGGAGGGGTTGGTGTGGGGAGGGGGGGAGGGGATGGTGTGGGGAGGGGGGGAGGGGATGGTGTGGGGAGGGGGGGAGGGGATGGTTTTTGAGTGTACGCAGAAGAGCACGGGCAGCTTCTGCAGGAGCTGGTATGCGTATACAAAGAAGGGGGGAAGAGGTGGGGGGTCGGTGCGCGCTCACAGGGGGGAAGGCGATGGGGTGAGGGGAGCAAAGGGGTTTGAGTTGAGTCTAGTCTACGCAGAGCGGAAGAGCACGGGCAGCTCCTGAAGGGGCAAAGGGGTGAGGGGGGCAAAGGGGCAAAGGGGCAGCTCCTGAAGGGGCTAGTGCTGTGGGGGTGCGAAAGAAGGGGCTGTTTGAGTTGAGTTGACTCAGGTGCCGACCCATAAGCTGGGGAGAGCACGGGAAGCGGGGGGAGAGGGGGAAAGGGGCGGGTGGGGTGGAGGCGAGTAGCTCTCGTGCAGGAGCTGGTGAGTAAGGGCACGCATGGGAGGAAGATGAAGGGTTTGGGTGCAGAAGAGTGGTGGGGCGGGGTGCAGAAGAGTGGTGGGGCGGGGCGCAGAAGAAAGGGGCAGGCAGAGGGGGAAGGGGGTAGACTTGGTCAGGCGTGCAGTGCAGTGCCTGACTCTTTGGAGGAACGTGATTATGTGGAAGGCAAAGCAATGTGACTGCAGATGTGCAGTGCGTGATTGCAGACGTCTGCAGCACTGCCCACGCACGGAACATGTATGAGGGGTTGACACGATGCATACATTCATCCGCAAGTAAGGGGGGTACTCCTCCCCGCCCTTTTCTGTGCTTCTCCCTTTGGCCCCCCTCCCCACATACCTTCTCACATACCTTCTCACATACCTTCTCACATACCTTTTCACATTCCTTCTCACATACCTTCTCACATTCCTTCTCACATACCTTCTTACATCCCCCTCCCATGCGCTCCCGCTCGTCCCCTCCCCCTTTGAGCAGAACATTATGCACCGCAACCATCAGGAGCAGCTCGTCTTTTGAGTCGTCTCAAGAGCCCCCCACAATCCCCTCCCATGCTCCTCCCCTCCCCCTTTGAGCAGAACATTATGCACCGCAACCATCAGGAGGAGCTCGCCGAGGCTCACCGCCAGGTATGGTGATCATGCCCAGAATCGCTTTTGAGAATTCTCGTAAGTTTTCAAGTGTGGTTTGGTACCCAAATCTCATGTTTTGTTTTAAGGCTCTGTGTATGCGATCTTATTTTTTGCACCTTGAAATAAAAACGGTGTGCTTTACTGTTTCTGGCATCTTGGTTCAGCCGATCGCCTTTCCTCTCTGCATGTGTCCTCTTCGCCTGCCGTCCCCTTCACAACGTCCCCAGATTCCCTCCACACCTCCGCTTTCCTTCCCCCCCCTCCCTTCACCTTTTTTCCCCTTTTCCCCACCTTCTGCTGCAGCGCGATGCAGCAAAAAGGGAGCTACAGTCGCTGCAGCAGCAGCAGCAGCAGCTAGATCTATCCCATCAACCGTGCTCCCTGTCCCCCAATCTCCCCCAACCCCCAATCCCATTGGCTGCAGCGTGATGCAGCGACGGGGGAGCTGCGGGCGCTGCAGCGGCAGCTGGAGGAGGAGGAGGAAGCGCGGGCGGAGGCGGAGAGGAGGCGCGTGGAGAGCGAGAGGCGGCGTGCAGCGGTGGAGCAGGAGAGGAACGAGAGTGAGATGGAGGCGAGCACTCTCAAGCAGAAGCTGTCCCGCCTGCAGCGTCAGCTGTCGGAGGTAGGGGGGAGGGAGGGGAGGGAGGGGAGGGGAAGGGAGGGGAGGGAGGGCGGGAGGGCAGGGAAGGGAGGGAGTGGAGGGAGCCGAGGGAGGGGAGGGAACAGGAAGACAAATGGAATAAAGGAATGGGGGAAGCGTTTGGGGCTGATTTTACGCGCATAGTTCTCTGATATGATGTCGTGTCTGTAATCCCACTTTCTCTTCTCCCTTTCCCGCTGCCTCTCTATTTCCCTCGTCCCCCTCTTTCCCGCCTCTCCCTTGCCACTGAACCACATGTCTAGGTGACGTCATTTGAGACAATGATGCCTCCTTGACTCATTTAAAAGGGCTGCAGTGCTAAAGGGAGCACTTAAGCAGTAGGATCAACATTGTGAAATTTGTGGAGAAGCAGAAGAAAAAAACCAAACAAAGCAAAACAAAAAAAAAAACAGATCTGAAAGAAATCCTTGCTTCGAAAAGAGCCTCCTTCCATAATTTGAGGCAATGACGCTCCTTGCGCTGATGAGACCTATGACAGCTGTCTGTGCCAGCAATCTGCACGGGAGCGTCACTGCGCACAGCATGAGCAAAGAGCAGGAGGAGTGGCTTTTGAGGCGCCTACAAAGCCACCCTGCCATCCCCGTCTCCCTTCCCTCCTCCCGCCCCTGCCTACCAGCTGAGCTACGCGCGCAGCAAGAGCGGGGATCAGGAGGAGCGGGCGGTGAAGGAGCAAGCAGGCAAGGTGGCACAGCTACAGGAGGAGGTGGAGCGGCTGGGCAAGATGGAGCAGGAGGCGGAGCGACTCAGAGCTGAAGTCATGGCCAGGGACGCCAAGGTGAGGCGCGATTTGTGAGGCGTGATGTGCGAGGCATGATGTGTGAGGCGTGATGTGTGAGGCGTGATGTGTGAGGCGTGATATGTGAGGCGTGATGTGTGAGGCATGATGTGTGAGGCACGAAGCATGTACTTTGCTGATTCCCTCCCTCCTGATTTCTATTTTCCTCTTCGGTCTGCGTTCCTCCCCAGTTCCGTTTCCCCCTCTTTTCACTTTCTCTTCCTCTCAATCGTTTCTCTCCCCTCTGTCGCCCCTTTCTGTCCCTCCCCCCACCCCCTCCTCCTCCCTTACCATCGTCCCTTTCTCTCCTCTGCACCCCTCTGTCCCACTTCCTCCCACATCATTTCCGTCTCTCTCTCTCTCGCTCTCTCTGTAGCTCAAGGCAGAGGAAGCAAAGATAACACATTTCGCATCCAAGCTGGTGAGACCAACTATCCCTTCTTACCTCACCAAACTCTCAGCCACTCCTCAACCCTCCCACTCAACTCCTTTCCCTGTCAACTTCCTCCCCTCTCGAATCCCTCCCTCAATACTCTACACTCTCAACTCCCCCTACACTCTCAACTCCCTCCTACCCATTTCCCTCACGGTCAACTCCTTCTCTTTCCATTCCGAAACGTTACCCTCCTTCCTTCCATCCCACGCTGCTGTGCTGCCACCCCTTGCACCATGCACGCATGCTCTGCCATGCAAGGTGTGTGCTCTCTCTAGTTCTATGGCCAAGGGTATATCTCAAATGTACCCAGAGACAGGCAGTGCGCCTGTGGGAGCTTTAGCTTTTTAGGTCAAACTCAACAATCGTATGCTCCCTCTAGCTCTATGCGCAAGGGTATTTCTCAACAGGCAGTGCTCTATGCGCAAGGGTATGCACCCAGAAACAGGCAGTGCTCTATGCGCAAGGGTATGCACCCAGAAACAGGCAGTGCTCTATGCGCAAGGGTATGCACCCAGAAACATGCAGTGCTCTATGCGCAAGGGTATGCACCCAGAAACAGGCAGTGCTCTATGCGCAAGGGTATGCACCCAGAAACAGGCAGTGCTCTATGCGCAAGGGTATGCACCCAGAAACAGGCAGTGCTCTATGCGCAAGGGTATGCACCCAGAAACAGGCAGTGCTCTATGCGCAAGGGTATGCACCCAGAAACAGGCAGTGCTCTATGCGCAAGGGTATGCACCCAGAAACAGGCAGTGCTCTATGCGCAAGGGTATGCACCCAGAAACAGGCAGTGCTCTATGCGCAAGGGTATGCACCCAGAAACAGGCAGTGCTCTATGCGCAAGGGTATGCACCCAGAAACAGGCAGTGCTCTATGCGCAAGGGTATGCACCCAGAAACAGGCAGTGCTCTATGCGCAAGGGTGTGCACCCAGAAACAGGCAGTGCTTCTATGGGAGCTTTTTGAGTCGACTCAACAATTGTATTCTCGCTCTATTTGTATGTATACCTCAGCAATTGTAGCAAGGGTATATATGCCTCAGTAGCACCTAGCGACAGGGTTTGTGGGTCAGGATGTGGAGAGGACAAGGCCAGCTTTGAGTTTGTGCATCACTTTTTGTCAACCTCCCCGGTTTTCCTCCTATTGTGCTGTGCGGTGCTGATCTGCTCTGCTGTGCGGTGCTGTGTGGTGGAGCATGGTATGGGTAACAGAGGGAGGTGACAGAAGTGAACGAGACCATGGAGAGGAAGTTAAGGGAGCAGAGCGCAATGGAAGCAGCCGTTTACGAGGTACATACCACTCTCTCCTCTGCTGCTCTTTTTCTCCTCTTCTCTTCTTCTCTGCTTCTCTTCTCCTCTTTTCCCTTTCTCCACTTCTCTTCACTCCTGTGAAAAGCTCAACGCCTCACCATCAAGTAACAGGAACAATGTACCCACAATGGTGTCTGCAACGAGACACATGTTTTTCCACTGAGAAAAAGCGTTCATTTTCCAATCGAAGCGAATTCTGTGGTGCCTTCAAAAGTCATTTCTCTGCTTACTCCCCTCTTCCTTCTCCTATCTCTTCTATCTCTTCTCTTTTCTCTCTTCTCTCTCCTCTCTCTCCTCTCTCATCCCTCTCCTGTCTCTCTCCTTGCAGGTGACAGCAGCAGACACAAGGAAGCCAGGGCACGTGGTGAGGCTGAGGAAGAAGACGGCCTACAGCTGTGCCGTGTGCAAGCTCTGGAATGAAGACCATTCTCTCTTGTCTCTCCTCTCTCCTGTCTCTCTCCTTGCAGGTGACAGCAGCAGACACGAGGAAGTCAGGGCACGTGGTGAGGCTGAGGAAGAAAACGGCCTACAGCTGTGCCGTGTGCAAGCTCGCAGGCAGGGGGCTGTGCTGGCGCTGCACCCACTCCACGTGTGCAGATTACATCCACCCGCAATGCCTCACCAAGGGGTGATCTGAGCGTGCATGTGAGTGTGTCCTCGCCTAGAGGACCTGCTGGGCAGAGGGGAGGCTGTGCTGGCTCTCATCTGCACCCACTCCACTCCACGTGTGCGGATTACATCCACCCGCAATGCCTCACCAAGGGGTGATGATGGGAGTGCGTTCAAGGATCCTAGGCTAGGGTAGAGGATCCTGTCAGGCAGGGGGCTGTGCTGGCGCTGCACTCTCTACAAGTGTGGAGACTACGTTCACTCGCACTGCCTCACCCAGGGGTGATCTGGTTTGGCGTGCGTTTTGAGTTGAGCATCCTAGAGGGCCGTGTGAAGCAGGGGAACTATGTTGAGCATCCACACTGCACATACTGCCTCACCAAGGGTTGCTCCGAGACTCTCAGACCAAGAGGGAGTTGAGAGGATCCTAGGACATGAACACCAATATCAGTATCTATCCACTGCCTCAGTAGCGGACGGTTTCTGTTTCCGCAACTAGACACATGCTGTCACCAAAAGAAAGAATGCTTGGTCACAACGCCATATATATCAAACCACAGTATGCTAGAGGAGAAAGTTTCACTGATCCCATACCATCAACCCCAGTAGTATCAGACGAGTTTTGGTTTATTAGGCACGAGTCACCGCGTGCAGTTACCGCTAGAACTCTATTTGTACAGGCTGACAGAATGTCTGTAGCACAACTGCGGACAGACAGTAGATTCACCCAAGCTACACTAAACAGCCAGCCAGATATGGCAAACAAACAATGGGAGTTTAAGGTGTAGGCATGCTAGTGCCAACTATAAACAGTATGGACTGCAAGCCAAGGCTTGCCGTCAGCTAGGTAACCTGCCATCACAGCTTCACTAGGTACAACGCAGCGAGCTCAATCAACAAATCATAACAGCCTGTTACATCAGTGCTGGCGAACGCACCTGTAAAGCAGGATCAAAGCGGACTCAACCCAGCACGGCGGTGAGACGCCTCGATCAAGAAGGTGTAGGCAAAGTGAGTAGAGTAGGTCCACTGCTCCTCAGGTGCAAGCAGCAGGCGCTTGGGGAGCCACCCATGAGCCATGGGCCATGGGCGATGGGCGATGGGCGATGGGCCTCCAGCTACTGCAGGAAACTCCTCCACGCACACGTGTGACTACTACTGTCCACCCTCGGGGAGTCCACGTGAATGAATGAACCATCACGGATGGGACACCTCAATCAGGCACCTACGTGACTACACTACGTTCATTGTTACTCGGGCGCGAGCAGTGAGACTGCTTGAGAAGAGGCCTCTCAAATCAGCAACTACTGCCTTCAAGAGAGTAGGTCCACTGCTCCTCGGGTGCGAGCAGCAAGCGCTTGGTGAGCCACCCATGGGCCTCCAGTTGCTGCAGGAATTCTCCAATGCATGCGTCTGCACGCTGCCCACTCTCCAATACCAGGTGCTGTAACTCCGGGGGCGACGCACGCCTGCTGCTGCTGTTGCTGCGGCTGTGGGTGGTGGTAATGGCGCTGCTGCTGCTGCTGCTGCTGCTGCTGCTATTCTGAGGTGCGAGGCTGGTTGTTGAAAGGGAAGACAGGGCGGTTTGCAAAAAACCAACCTGGATGGAAGGGAGGGACAGAAGGAAGGAGACATGGGGCGATGGATGGAGGATGAAAAAACGGAGGGATGGGGAGATAGAGAAATGCAGGAATGGAGGATGGAGGATGCAGGTGTAACAGCGTCATGATTAAGGGAGGGAGACATAAAGCTCCAAGCTTGACTAGAGAGGTGAAAGACACATTGGATACAAGCTGGCTTTCTAAAATTTGCTGTGATGATGACATTCCTGACACCCGCATGCACCCGCATTCCTGACACAGAACGAAGAAAACAGAGAAGACCACTTTCAACGTCATAAACAACAAGAGCGCCCGCTCCAATATTGCTTTCATCCATTCGGTGTCAAAAAGCCACACACAGCTCAGCAAAATGAGATCAACAGCGATGACCACTTCCAGCCCTCCGCGTTCGCGTTGTCGCTCCGAGACTTCACGAATTACAGATTTCATCCACCCAGGACGGAAGCTACAAAACGTCGTTCGCCGTCCCGCCTAGCAACTCCGCGAATGACATTTTATAGCTTCCATGCTGTGCGGCACTGCCGGGATGAAATATGTAATGCGTGGAGTCTCGGAGCGAGAACGCGAACACGGAAGGCCGAAAGTAGCCGTCGCTGTTGATCTCGCGCTTGCTCAGCGGCGTGTGAAATTTTGACACCGAATGGAAGAACCATTATCGTAGCAAGTGCTCTTGCTGTTTATGATATTGAAAGTGGTTATTTCTGCCTTCTCCATTCCGCAAAGGGTAGGGAGGATAGAAGACATGGAGGTGGGAAAACAGGGATTGAAAAAAAGGGGAAAGAGGAGAACGAGGGAGGGAAGCAGACGATGGAGACTGATTTCGAGAATTTTCAAAATCAATCTCCATCTGATGAAGTGGTGCCTAAACTTGTGATGCTGGATAACGATGCTAGATGCTATTTGACTGCGTGGAAGGGGAAGGTGATTCTTTAGTATAATCAGAAGCATCCTTACCTGTAGCAGCACCTTGAGTTTGACTTGGGTAGAAGCAGACGAGTTGAAGGATACGAGGATAGAGAGCGGAGGCAGCACACACACGGAGACGTGTCGAGGCGCCTCAGAAGCCCTTACCTGCAGCAGCGCCTTGAGCTTGTCTTGGGTAGAAGCAGAAGGTGGTATTCTAAATCAAATCGGAAAGCATCCTTACCTGCAGCAGCGCCTTCAGCTTGTCTTGCGTGGAAGCAGAAGAACTGAAGGATATGAGGATCGAGAGCGGAGGCAGCACACTTGTCGGGGAGACCCGAGGAGAAGGCGCAGGGGGAGCAGGAGGACGGGCGGGGTGGGGATGGTGGAGTGGAGGGGAGCGGCGGTAAGGAATCAGAGAGGGAAGAGCAGAGGGAAGTGTACAGAGGCGTGCGTGCAGTGGGTTGATGACCCTTGCCTGTAGCGCTTTCACTGCCCCTTGGGCTAAGGTGTTTCCCTGCAGCTGCCGTTTGAGACGAGCTAAGTCACAAAGAGCTGTTTGCACAGTCATGAGAAGGAGCATCAACTTGCTGTCTCTTTCCCGCACACTGATCACGTATGGAGGCGGCATGTTATTTGGAGAAGGCATGCTTGTAGGCAAATGGTTCTGTGAGGTTTGAGAGTGGTCGGGAGCAGTGCTTGTGGGAGGGGGAGGAGTGTGTGTGGAGGTTTGAGGATCAACGGGGGGAGTGGGCGTGGTGGGCTTGTGGGAGGGGGGAGCAGTTAAGTAGATGTCGGTGGGTGGAATGGGGGAGATGGTGGTGGGGGTGGCGGTTGTTGGTGCTGCTGCTGACACTGATGCTGCTGCTGATGCTGCTGCTGCTGGCGATGCTGATGGTGGTGCAAGAGTGGGTGTGTGCTGAAGCGGTTGCAGCAGGTGCAGCAGGGAGCGTTGGTCGAGGTGGTGAGAGAGGAGCGGAACCACCCGCACATGGGGAGTGAATGGTGAGGCTGCAGCAGAGGAAAGGGGACAACGTGTGGGGGGGTTGAGAAGAGGGTGGGTAACAAGGGGAAGGGAGAGTGCGACGGAAACCAGTGAGAGGGAAGGGGAGAAGGAGAAAAAGCAAAGGGAAGGGAAATGCAAAATTGAAAGCGCGCCGAGCAATGGGAAGGAGGAGAGAGGTGAGAAAATAAGGCAGTGCTGGCAGTGCTGGCAGTGGTGGCAGTGGTGGCAGTGCTTACTCCAGTGCGGCGGAAAGAAGAGGCTCTCTCTTGGGGTGAGTTCCGCAGGGAAGGGCATTGCTCTGCCAGCCACCCAGTCAGACACCAGCATCTGCACTCGCTCCTGTTGGTGAGACGCGTGTGTGGGGAGACGCGTGTGTGGGGAGACGGGGAACAGGCGACGGGTTGAGACGAAAAGGGAGGTGGAAGAGGGACCGGAGCAGGGCACTGCTGTGCCTGACACCCAGTTGAACACCAGCGTCTGCACTCGCTCCTGTTGCCCATGGTGAGAGGCATGCGTGGTGGGGGGGGGGGAGCAGGGAGGGGCACAGGTTTGAGTTGGATTACAAGAGAGGTACGAGGGGAAGCTGTCAGTCACCAGCGTCTGCACTCGCTCCTGTTGGTGATAGTCGTGTGTGGGGAGATGGGGAACAGGCATATCACTAAAGAATTGAGATGGACGGGAATTGGGAGAGACACCAGGGCAGGGCACTGCTGTGCTTGACACCCAGTTGAACACCAGCATCTGCATTCGCTCCTGTCGTGAGAAGTGTGTGTGTGGGGAGATGACGAACTGCGAACCAGATTAGCACTATTCAAGGATGACGGGTTGAATTGAGACGATACAGAAGGTACTCCAAGGGGGGGGGGGGGGAAGGCAATGCTCTGTTTGTGACCCAGCTTAGCACTATCCGCTGCTCTGTTTGAATAGCACTATCTCGCTCCTGTTTGTGAGACGCACGCACGCAAGGGGAGCTGAAGAAAAAGTGACCAATGATAAGCGGGTGAGACGATAGAGAGATACTCAAAGGAGGAGTGGAAGGGTGGTGCTCAGGTTATCACCCAGATTAGCACAATCTGGGTGTATCGGCCGCACTCGCTTCTGTTCTGACCCTCACTTTCCCCCCAAACACCACCCTCTACCTCCCACCCCATCATCCGTCCCTTCGCCTCAACCCCAACAAGCCATCCTTCCCTCCAGTACCCTCCCCTTACCTTATTCAGCAAACGCAGTGGCACAACCTGCAGCTCCCATCTGCTAGCAGCTCCCCCTTACAGTGGATTGATTAACCTGCCCCTTCTCCTTTCCCCCTTTCAACAAGCCCCCCTCTATCAATCCAGCATGCCCCCCTACCTTATTGAGCGAACACAACAGCCCGACTTGCAGCTCTCTTCAGCCTTATTGAGCAGCTCCCACCTTAACAAGCTGTCCCCTTTCCTCCCCCCCCAACAACAAGCCCCCACTATCAACCCCGCACGCCCCCTCACCTTATTGAGTGAGCGCAGCGGCACGGCTTGCAGCTCTCGTTGAATGGCTAGAAGATCCGTGATCGCCAGCAGCGGGAAGAGCAGGAGCGGCAGGCGCGCGTGCAGGCTGTGGGAAAAGGGAGAGGCGGGAGAGGGAGGGAGTGGGAGGGAGAGGGAGGGAGAGGGAGGGAGAGGGAGGGAGAGGGAGGGAGGGGGAGGGAGGGGGAGGGAGGGGGAGGGAGAGGGAGGGAGAGGGAGGGAGAGGGAGGGAGAGGGAGGGAGAGGGAGGGAGAGGGAGGGAGAGGGAGGGAGTGGAAGGGAGAGGGAGGGAGAGGGAGGGAGAGGGAGGGAGAGGGAGGGAGGGGGAGGGAGGGGGAGGGAGAGAGGGCAGGCAGGGAGGCGGGGAGTAAACATGGGCACCGAGGCGAGTTTTTCGCCTCGGCTCGTACGAGGCACTCGTTCGAGGGTGAGTGGCGAGTGTGCTTTTCCCTGAAAATAACTCGTCCGAGCCGAGGCGAGTTTAACTCGGCGAGTTTTTTAAACTCACCGAGCACTTGTTGCACTGACGAGCTTTTTGAAAAGCTCGTGCATGTATATGGCAACGAGCCGAGCTTCCCTCGGCTCGACCGAGCTTTTCTTGAAGCACGAACGAGCTTTTGAAAAGCTCGTGCTATTTAGCCGAGTCACGAGCTTGCATTTGCCCACAAAAAGCTCGTACGAGCAAAACTCGGCTCAGAACAAAGCTCTTACGAGTGTGCCTGGGACGAGCCGAGTAAAACTCGGCTCGACTCATTGCCCATGTATAGCGGGGAGGGCTTAGTTGGGAAAGACGCGTCCTGCGTCTAAGACGGGTGCGTCCAGACAGCGTCTTAGACGCAGGACGCAGGATGTGGGCCTGGGAGACGCACCAAAAGACGCAGGCCCGGGCAGGGCAAAAAAACCCCCGGGCAGCCAAAAAAATGTTATAGGGCATTGGAAGGGGGGGGACCATAGCACACTTTCACTGCAAAATTTTCCCCAACAATCAAAATTTTCCCCCAATATTCAAGACCAAGGTGAGTGAATGTCAATTTCGCGAATTTCGGGGGGGGTCAAATTTCGTGAAATTTGACATTCACGTCGAGATCGGGAATGTCAATTTCGCAATCCGGGGAAAAAAAAAGCAGTCAGCCCAAAAAAAAAGCCGCCATGCGTCCTGCGTCCCTGCGTCTGGACGCTGCGTCCAGACGCAGGACGCACGCCTCCTCCAGCGGCTTTTCCAACTTAGGGGGAGGGTGAGAGAGGAGAGAGCGAGGAGGGGAGGATGGGGATGCAGAGGAGAGGAAGAAGCGAGGGTGGTTAGGGGAGGTGTGTGAGGAAAAACCCTTTTCAGATTCCAGCTGGGTGGCACGGTTTGCAGCTCCCTTCTTCCCTGTTCATAGGGACCTGTACAAAGAGAAATCCTGTTTCGAGCGATTATTTTGGTGACTCAAAACTCTGTGGTGCCGCCATAGCTTCAAAACTCTGTGGTGCCGCCATAGCTTCAAAACTCTGTGGTGCACCCACATCCTTGACTTGACCTGTGACCGTGCTGTGCTGTGACTTACTGCTGGTGGTTGCGTGTGAGTGCGCCCAATGTCACTGCCACTGCCAGCCCTATGTTGTCCGCTACCACTGCTTGCGCCTGCATGCATGCATGCAGACATGCAGACAGGGAGAGACCATGCAACAGACAGTGAGCATAAATTGATGTTTGAGATGTCTCAAAAGCCGGCTTTATGTTGTCCGATACCACTGCTTGCGCCTGCAGGCAGGCAGGCAGACATGCAGGCATGTAGGCAGGTGGAGATACACACATGCAAGTATGCAGGCAGGCAGGCACGCATGCAGACAGGCAGGCATGCATACACACACCGTGCAGGCACCTCGCAGAAAGAAGAGACTCACGAGCTAACGGGGAAGCACCTTCAAAAAGCCAGTTTTGAGGCGCTCTGATAAGAAACAGATTCAAGAGATAACTGAAGGACCTTCGAATGGGAAAAAACGGAGGGAACAGACAACCCACACGCTTGCATGCATGGGAGCCTTGCTTAATGCACGCTTCCTTGCCCATTACCCATTACCATCACATTATGTTTTTTGAGAATTCTCAAAAACATTCACTGCCTTGACCATTACCCATTACCATCACATTACCACCATCACACCACCGTGTATCGAATCAGCACTGCGTCACACCACACCACACCACCCCCCTCCCCCTTCCCAGGGCGAAGGTGCGATGAATGGGTTTGAGTCGAGATAACACCCCCGTTCCCCTCCCCTCCTCCCTGCCCCCCTCCCCCTCCCCTCCCCCCCTCCCCCTCACCTGCCCCTTGGCGGAGATGTCCCCCAGGTTATCCGCCAGGGCGAAGGTGCGATGGATGGGCGGCTGGGGGAGCGGAGGAGGGGAGGAGGAGGGGCGGGGGGAAGAGAGAGGGAGGGGGTGTGGGGATGAGGGGAGGGGAGGGGGGGTGTGACACGGAGTGAAGAGGAGAGGGGGGGAAGGATTGGGGGAGAGAAAGAGGAAAGAGGAGGAGCTACAACACCCGAAACAGTACCCGAAACTGGAGCAAACACCAAGAAAGAGCTGTAACATGAAGCACACTCAGGACCAGCAGCAGCAGCGGCAGCGGCAGCGGCAGCGGCAGCAACAGCGGCAGAGGCAGCAGCGGCAGCAGCGGCAGCGGCAGCGGCAGAGGCAGCAGCGGCAGCAGCAGAAGCGGCAGCAGCAGCAGCAGCAGCAGCAGCAGCAGTGGCAGCGGCAGCGGCAGCCGCAGCGGCAGCGGCAGCGGCAGCGGAAGCGGCAGCGGCAGCGGCAGAGGCAGAGGCAGCGGCAGCAGCAGCGGCGGCGGCCGCGGCGGCAGCAGCAGTGGCAGCGGCAGCGGCAGCGGCAGCGGCAGAGGCAGCGGCGGCGGCGGCGGCGGCGGCGGCGGCGGCGGTGGCGGCAGCAGCAGCAGCGGCAGCAGCAGCGAGCCAGAGGACTTGCTGTTTAATAGCGAGCGCTTCAAGGGTCACCAGGCACACCCAGAACACCAGCAGCAGGCATAGCATGCGGCACACTCACAGTGGTGGCGACGTAAGCAGCGAGCCCAATGGACTTGCCAATATTGGCAGCAGTGGCGAGCGGTAGAAAGAGGTGCGGGAAGTGTGGCGTGAGAATGTCCAGGCCTAGACTCGCAGAGAACAGCGCTGACGTCTGAAAACGCACCCTCTGGACAATGGAGGGGGAGGCGAGAGGTTGCAGGAAGGAAGGAGGGCGAAGTGGGTTGTTGCGGGTTTTACAGAAGTGGGTTTCACTCACGGCAGCCCTCAGCAGCACTCACGCTGAAGATTCTCATAGCCACTTCTAGTGAGGCCTGCCCTTTTTACAGAAGGGCTTGTGAAGGAACAGCTATGAGAATCTTCAGCGTTTTTTCACTCACAGCAGCACCTGGTGGGGCAGCCCTCTGACAAAGGGCAGGCCCCACCAGGGGAGCGAGCAGAGAGATTCAATCCACAGAGCACGCACAAATATTTAACTGACAGACAATGTTTCGTCGGACGAAAGCAGCAGCAAATGTGCACCAGGCATGAGGCCTATGCTCACGGATATGGTAACGCCATTAGAATCTTCACCAAGCGCTCAACCATCCAACCATCGATTTATCGAACCAGTGAACCACCCATTCATGCACTCGCACACTAAACCAAATCAACCAGCCAAACCAACGGACCTTCAAGTTGCAGTTAAACAAGCCGACAGTGCTCCCCACAAACCACAGCCGCCCCAGGCCGAAAGAGGGAGGGGGAGGCGAGGTTGGGGGAACGAGCCATCCACCCGTCCACTGAACCAAATCAACCATCCACCCAACGGAACGGACCTTCAAGTTGCAGTCAAACGACCCGCCAGTGCTCCCCACGAACCACAGCCGCCCAAGGCGCCCCAGCCCATCCTTCAGCACCCACTGCAGCGCCGCAGCAGCCGGCACCGACCGCCGCGCACCCACTCCAACCGCTCTCAACAGAGACTGAGTCGCTATGACGTGCATGCATGAGCTGAGCGTCCTCTGAACGCCCTTCCAGCGCATGTACTCCCAGTATCCATCCGCCACATCCCTTGGCAGCAGCACTGCACGTGATGCTTCCTCCATGGGAGCCCACACTTGCGTTCTCCACGCTTCGCTGCATTGCCTGAGCATGGCTGCTGGGAGGAAGAACGCCCTTACGCCCTCGTCGGGCCTCTCTCTCCCTTGCTGCTGCCGCTGCGGCTGCTGCTGCTGCTGGCTGTGTGACTGGCTGCGTCCGGAGGTCCTATCACCGTCGCCCTCTGTGCTGCGTGCTGCCACCACGCACCTCGCCTCGCGAGCATCCCATGCCAGCTGCCGCTGCCGCTGCCCACACTTACTCTCCCATATGGGCAACAGCTCCACCGTCTCCTCCTCCCGCTTCCCCTTCTTCCCCTTCTCCCCCTTCTCCCCCGTCTCCCCACCCGTGTCCTCATACTGCTCATACTCTTTATAGTCCTGCTCTTCTTTCCCCTTAGCAACCGCCAGGTCATTTCTTGAGTTGATTACCCGTGCATCTCTTGCTTTCTCGTCTGCGCCTGCCGTTTTCCAGCCCATGCCATTCCGAACCTGCGTTCCCCGAACCTTCCCTCTCCAAGCCTGGCCCGGCCAAACCAGGCAACGATCTTTCCAAACCCAAGAAATTAGCCTCGGGACAGAGGCTCGGTACTCCACTGCTGCTGCAGAAGCTGTTACTGACGCCATTGCTACTGCCGGCACAGTTGCTACAGCTGCTACAGGTGGTGTTACTGGCGTTGCTGGCATCACAGCAGCAGCAGCAGCAGCTGTTAAGGATCGTGCCAGTCCTATCAATGCTCTCCTCTGTGCATGAGAGTCACAAATTAACTCTCCTCCCATTCCCCATTGCTCCGTCCCCCAAAGCTTCCCAACCCCATCCGCCTTCCCACCACCCCCTCCTCTACCTCCTCTCCCCCTGCTTACACTCAAAACCCTACTCGTCCCATCCCCCGCGCCCAAATCCTCAAACTCCCCGCGCTTCAGAGCCTCCGCAACTATAAACCCGCCTCTTGCTCCCTTCTTTCCTCGTTGCGTTTGAGATTTTTCCAAAGCAGCTTCCTCATTCAACCGCTCCTCTCCTCCCCGTGCCTCTCCTCCCGGCCTCTCCCCCCTCTTATGCACCAACCCCCCTTTAAAGCCTCCGTCAACTGCGGGCGTTGGCCCTTCAACCCCGACGCTCAGCGCGAGCCGCCCGAAACCCAGCACCGCCAATTCGCGGCGCGGCGCACCGCCATCCTCCTGTTCCTCATTCGCCGCCGCGGCTCCCCCAAAGTTTCTCCCGCCCATCCCCTCTCTACACACGCCTTGACGACGGCACAACTCACACAGCTGATTCGTCGCATGCGCTCCCCGCCAGCCGTTACAATCGCACTTGGGAGAAGTGATACTAGCGATTAGAGGGCCAAATTTATCCCCAGGACGGTCTCTTAATCTTCTCCTATCCCGAAACGCCCGTCTGCCTAAATTTCGCGCTCCTGGAGTAGCGGGGAATTCTTCGCTTGGCGCAGGGGGAGATTCTCTGCGTGGCGCGCGATTGCGCTCCCCGCAAAGCGCGGACGGGGCACCGCCTCCGGATGCGCTGTGGCGGGCAATTTCCTCCGCGACCGGGAAACTCGGCGGAGATACGGAAATAACAACCGCGGGTTCGGCAATTCCGCTTCCGACAGCGGCGCAACGAGCGGAAGAAAGTTCGGTGTTTTGGAACCGTTGAAACTGCTGGAAGTGCGCCGCGGTAGCGGCGAAAAGCGAGGGAAGGAGAGTCAAGGGCGAGGGGGATTCTTTTCCGGGTAAAGTGGATTCACGCACTGGAGAGTCAGCAACAAGAGAAAGTGGTTTGCGCATCGACTCAAATACCGGCTGCGATAATGGTTGCGATGCTAATCGATGCCGGCTGGAATCATTACTACTGGACGAGGATGACATGACGATGTTTTCGTTCTGAGGCTAACGAGGAGGGAGCACAGGCATCGTCACTTTCGCGAGAAGGAAGTTTAATCAGGGATACTTTAAAAATCGCTAAAATATTGGGAGTGGGCAAGCCTGCTTCCACCACCTGCTGAGTGTGTACAGGAAACTTGATTGCAAGACCAGACGGCAAGATACCATTCACTAAGAGTGCTTGGAAGAGCTGGGTGGGTGAGAGCAGGAAACAAGGTGAGGAAGACTGATGAGAGCAGGGCTGGTTTGGTTGACGGGAGGGGAGGGGACGGGAGGTTGCTGGAGTGTGTTTCGTCTTGTGTTTGAATGTGTGGTGAGTGATGAGCGCGCTGCGGAAGAGATGGCGGACCAAAAAGTCGTTTCTTGGTGACACCTCGGTTTCGGGCTTTTCTCAGTTCATTATAATCACACCAGCCGCATTAATGGTACACACCGAAATACGGAACTGTACATGGTGTATGGGCTGGCATGCTGAACTTAGTTTTGACCGCCAATTGGCTTGACTACTGTACCCCTTTCTAGCCAGTCACAACTCGCCTTGCCAGCCATCGTCCAGAGATAGGCCCACGTGTACCTACTGCATGAGCATGTTCTCCTACTTCACCCTCACCGTGCTGCAGCCCAGCGGGGTGACCTGAGGTGCGGGGGGGAAATGTGCCCTGCATGGGTGTACCAGTGTCATGGGTGTACCAGTGCAACCGTACAGAGCCAGATCCACCTGTTTATCCCGTTAAAATGTCACTACTTTGGTATTTTAGATTATCATATTTCATTTTCATCCGGTGAGTTGGGTGAGTGGGAACAAATACTTTAGAATCCAATGATGCCACAAGGCGTTCTCCAAAATGGTTCCCTATTTAATCTAGCTTACATAACTCAATCTCAATATTCGCCTCGGTTTTGATTGTAATACCATCTTTTTGAAATCATATACTTCGCAAATACGTACGAATTTGATGAAGCTCTGCCCATATATATATAAAAAAAAAAAAAAACAACGATGCTCTAATGTCATAATATGTGAAGGAGGGTCTGAGCCCATCCATTTCGTATATTCTGTTGAGCCTCAATCTGAATGGACAGAAACAAATGAGCTCCCGAAGTGAATGTTTTGTTCCTAAACAATGGAAGTTTTGCTCCCGATGTGAATGTTTTGTTCTCTGTTACGAGTGCAATTGAGTGATCGAGCGAGAATTGCACTATCGAAGAATAGTGTACAATGAGCGAAGGCATGAGCGAAGAATATATAGCGAAACTACAGTGGTAACGGTAATGCGTGAAGATGGGGTGAACGACGAGCCTGGCGCCGAGGTTGGGTTTTGCCGAGGCGGAGGTCTGGAGCGCGGGTTACCAACCGAACAGTGAGGTTGGGTCGCGTCATGAACGGTGGCGGGAATAGTGTCGAGGTGAATGTCGCGAGTGGTAACGGTTTACTGTTGGGTGCTGGTGGCGTGAACAGTGGTGTACGCGCTGAGCAGGAAAATAGAATTTTCTTACACTACCCCCCCCCCCCCCCCCCCCAAGGAGGCCCTCCTTACGAAAGCGCGTGTACATCCCGGAAATTTCGGCTGCGCAGGTACTCTGTGAGGACGGGGTGGTTTTCGATTATGTCCAGAGGAACCCAGTTGTCTTCGGTGGGTGTACGGTCTCTCCAGCGGATCAGGAATTCGATCCTTCGAGCTCCTCGTGGGTCACGAACCCTGTGGCTTAGATTTTTTTCGGGTGTGATGATTGGCTCGGTCGGCGGTCGGGTCATGGTGGCTGGGCGGTTGCGTGGCAATTGGCCTGTGGATGGTATGTAGGGGCAAAGCAGATTGACGTGAAAAGACGGGCAGACGTACCAGTCAACGCGGAGGAGGAGGTGGGGCGGTGACGGGTGTAATCATGTGGCTGATGTGGAATGGTCCACAGTATCGAGGGCGAAGTTTTGGGGTAATGGGCAGGCGGAGGTTCTGGGTGTCAAGTAAAACCAGGTCGTCCGGCTGGTAGGTGACAGGTCGGCGGTGGCGGTCGGTGTTGCGTTTAGCGATGATGTTCGATTTTTTAATTGCGTCTGCTGCCCGGGTCCGTGCTGCTTGTAAAATTTCGGTGAATTGTTGCGCCCGTGGCACCGGGTTGTCGGGATTCGGGGTCATGAGTACTGTTGGGTCTTGTCCGTAGTTCAGGTAAAACGGTGACTGTTGGGTCGTGGCGGAAGGTGAGTTGTTGTACGCAAACTCGATGAGTGGCAGCTGCTGCATCCAGATGGTTGGATCATCGCACGTGGCTCGGATGAGTTTTTCCATGGTCTGATTTGTCCTTTCTGTTTGTCCGTCGGTTTCGGGGTGGTACGAAGAACTGAACTGTAGTCGCGTGTCGAACTGCTGCCACAGGTTCCGCCAGAAGTTGCTGGTGAATTTCGTGTCTCGGTCGCTGATGATCGCTGCTGGTATCCCGTGCAGTTGAACGACGGTGGAGATGAAGAGGCGGGCTGTTTCTTCGGCTGTGATTGATTTCTTGCAGATTGCGAAGTGTGCCATTTTCGTCAATCGATCGAAAATGACCAGGATTGCGTCGTTCCCACTCGCTCCGCCCGGTAACCCCGTGACGAAGTCCATCGTCACCTGCTGCCAAGCACGCTCTGGGGGTGGTATCGGCTGCAACTGTCCTTCCGGCCGCTTTCGTGATGACTTCATGAGCTGGCAAGTGGGACACGATGCCACGTGTCGCTGTACGTCGGTCAACATTTCGGGCCAGTAATAATATCGCTGCAGCTATTGCCGTGTTTTCTCTACCCCGAAATGCCCCGAGGTAACTCCATCGTGTGCCTCCTATAACAGTAATTCCCGTAGCAGTGTGTACCCTGGTACCCAGATGCGGTCGGTCCCGGATTTTACATAACAAACTCCCTTTGATGCTGTGAACTGCTGCAAATTTCCTCCTGTAAAGAATGGATCCGTTTGGTACCCGTGGGTTAATAGGCCTGTCAGTAGTGGGCTGGTCTGGGCAAGTAGTATCGCATGGATCTGGGCAGTGGGGCGGGTCAGTGCGTCGGCGATGTTCGATGCTCCTTTTTTGTAGGTGACTGTGTAATGGAAATTGGACTCGAGGAAATCGAGCCAACGGATCTGTCATGGGTTGTGGTGTGGCTGTGCGTGGAGATACTGTAGTGATTTATGGTCTGTCCGTATTGTCACGTCTGCGCCGGTCAAGTAACAATGCCACACTTTAGACGCGTGCACGATCGCGAACGTTTCGAGGTCGTGTATCGGCTATTTTTTCTCGGGCGGATGCAGTTTTTATGACTCGTATGCGATGGGTTGTAGTCCGTTGCCGAAGTCCTGTAGCAGTACTGCTCCGATGGCGATGTCGCTTGCGTCTATAACTACTTCGAATGGGCGGCGTGGGTCGGCGATGCGCAGTATGGGCGGTGAACAGGGAATATTTTTCAGGGCAGAGAAGGCACCATTCTCTTTCTCCCCCCACGTAAAAGCGACCCCCTTCCATAGCAAGTCCGTAAGTGCCATGTCGGGGACGAACCGACGCACATAATTGACGAATCCCAAAAAACTCTGCAGCTTCGCGATGTTCGTCGGTGGGTGCCATGCCTTTACCGTGTCCAA